GCAGTGTCCATTTATGTTCTATCTGTGGTGCTGTGAAGTGGATAGAATTAAACATGAGAGGTAGCAAGGTTACAGGCAAAGAAAAAAACGTGGTACGAACCATCCAACATTTCTGAACCGAGGATGTTACCTGATGAGTCAGAGGCTTTGAGGTCATGTTCCTTGTGTTGGGTGGCTCTCATTCCATGGAGCTCTCGACTGTTGAAAGATCAGCTAATAAAAGGTGCTTTGGTTAGGGTGACTCGAACATTATTCATGCTTAAAAATAAATAAATGAATACAAATAACAGGGGCATTAGACAAGATGAAGTGCATTTTCTTCTATCCATTGTAATAACTTGTTAGCGTGAAAAAGAGTGTTTTGATGACCTAGAGAGGATAAATAGAACTTCATGGCAAGCCAACAGCCATTAATAGGTTTTTGATAGATTATATTTTTCATTTGTGGTTAAGCAGCATTATTGCGTATATGTTGCCTTTACATAGAGGTTCTCAGCATAGATCAGGGTTCTGTTGTAACAGATATCATAAAAACAGGTGAGCACAGTCAAGAACTTCAGTATTTTTTTTTAGACTATGTTTTAATGGTCCTGACAACCCCAGTCTTGTGGTGAGTTTTCTCGTGGAATTATAGAATTGTTTGGGATGGAAGGGACCTGAAAGACCATTTATTTCCAACCCCCCTGCCATGGGCTGGGACACCTTCCACTAGACCAGGTTTGTCAAAGCTCCATCCAAACTGGCCTTCAACACTTCCAGGGATGGGGCACCTACAGCTTCTCTGGGCAACCTGTTCCAGTGCCTCACCACGCTTAAAGAATTCCTTTCTGATATCTAATCTAAACCTACCCTCATTTGACTTAAAGCCATTACCCCTTGTCCGATTGCTACAGGTCCTTGTAAAAAGTCCCTTTCCAGCTCTCTTGTAACCCCCTTTAGGTACTGGAAGGTGCTGTAAGGTCTCCCTGGAGCCTTCTCTTCTCCAGGTTGAACCACCCCCACTCTCTTGACCTGTAACACTAATACTGCTTGAAACCTTTTTGAAGGGGAGAAGTCTGTTGGAGGGAAGCTAATGGGTTTCCCTATTTGTTTGTGTGGGTTAAATGCATGGACCTGTTTCAGTCACATATTTAATGCTTCTTTGTGTGTGTGTTAGACCATCAGGTAGTTCAGGGTGGGTGACTGAGCCAGGGTTATTGCACTATTTCCAATGATTATTTCCAGACTTTCAAAATTAACTATAAAAGTTTTCAACTCTTCAATCCAAAATCCATCAAATCTGTTTAATAATAAAAAAAAAAAAAAAAAAAAAAAAAAGGTAGCTAGACAGTACTTTTGTGCAATTTTGCACCTTCTGTCTCAAATTAAAATATTTGGAGCTGTGGTGTCTGTTCTTTAATCCCCACCCCCACCAGTAATTTTGCTCATATGTTATCCATAAATCTTGTCTGTTTTAAATGTTCCAACTAATAGTTAGGCAAAACATTTAAGCATAATGATATGATTAACAGAGTCCATTTTTTGGCAGCCTGGATGCTGTATTTCTTAAGCTAGCACTGCAGTTTATCCTGATTAGAGATATGAAGGAATTATTATTCTTCTTGGAGGATTTTTTTTGGTTTTGTTGTTGTTGGGGTTTTCTTGTTTGCTTGTTTTCATAATACGAGGATTTAGGGGTTCTGCAGTCGTTTTGCAGGAATATAATGTGTGATTTGGCTGGATCTTTGAAGTGGTAATATTATAAATCTCCCAATCACCATTGCCCAATCTGTTTTAGCATTCATGTGCCTAATTTCTGTTTGTAATCTGATTACTGGCTTGAGCTGCTCCGGCTTGCAGCCTATTGCTATGCATTTACTGTACTCCCTGGGACGCGATAGCCTGACAGCTCCAGTCCTGTGCTATGAAAAATCTCTACACGATATTGCTAAGACAGGCCTAGGGCTGTGGCTGCTGGAGAATTAGCTGCTATTGTAGTTTCTCTTTGCCGAATCCTTTGTTTCTGCGACCATGTTCAGAAATCCTTGGATCTCCAGCTATTTGGGAAATGTTAAATACTCTGAGGAGCAAGGTAAGAGTTCCAAGTAGATAGAAGAAAATGCAGTTCATTTGTGTGTGTTTAATCTCTCGTATATGTGTATGCATGTGTAAATATTGTTTGACTGGATCTTCTGCAGCTGCATTAGGTACTTTAGCAATCAGTATGCAGTTAGTCACCTAGGCTATTTCATTATTTCCTAAAGGGCACTTTTGAAAGATCCGATTAGATGGATCTTTTAATTAGCTTAGCATGCCACCGACTTAGGGCCTTTAAATATACTGAGTAACACTGGAAGGTTGCATCTACTTTTTCTTTTTGAATTCAGCATTTGAAATTTCTTACATGTTAAAGTGTGAATAGTGGTTTTATTCGGTAGTTTGTACCTAAGAGGGAGGGGAACTAGACTCAACAAACAGTTAAACTTGTGAGCAAGTTTGATTTACACTTCAGTAAATATACTCTCAATTTTAAATACAAATACTTAAAATTTCTTTAATGTGATTATGAGCATGTTTAGAATTCTTCAGCAAAAGAAAGAACAAAATGCTGTTGCAAATATTTTCCTTCTGTGAATCAGTTACTGTGAGGGTGTTTTTTTATCTTTAAATTAACCATTGAGTAAGACTCTGTTAAACTGATGTTTCTTTGTTGAGCATATTTAATGTCTTTTGATGCACAGTTGTTTTACTTTTCCTCCTGTGTTTGTATTTAAGACTTCTGTATTGTGGTAAGTAAGTTTTATTGGACTTTAATCCCCCCCACATGGTGCTTAATTTGAACAGGAGGAAATACATAAAATATCAAAACTGTGTGACAGAATATAATTGCCTGCTAGGTTTTTCTGTGTTTAGGGTGTGGGGGAAAATTGAAGCTCAGCCCTGTGAAATACAGCAAAGTTTTAAGATGTTTTTGAGGCAGCATAGATGTGGTGTGTATGATGTTACTGAATGTGTTTAATGGGTAGCAACAGCCAAACCGGCTTATGTGCCCCGTCTTAGCAGCCCTTCTCCCTCCCTGCTCCCAGGGAAGCAATGCAGGCTACTTTCTTCCCTTCTCATATTCCCTCCCCAGTTTTGGCTAGGGTAGGCAGAATTTCTCTGTGGTCTGCTTGTGGTTTTCACGGTGGACAGCTGTTTCAGTGCCAAAAATTCTAGGATGGGTTGTATCCTGTTAGAACAGCTATAAATTTAAGATATGCCTGGTTCTGATTAGCTAAGCTGATACTGAGCTGGGCTTTGAAAGTTAGTGCATAGTCTTCTCAAAGTCATATTAATCTGGCCTTTTTAGAGGATGCTTATGGCATGGAGTATTTTTTTTTTTTAATGTTGTAGTGTAAAATATAATGATTTATATACCATTCACACTGTTTTTCTTATAATACTCTGTTTTGGTTTAACAAGATATTTCTGTGTAATCTATGTACTTTATTCTCCATTTAATGGAAAGAGAAAATGAATGTTAACAAAAACAGGAAAAAGTTGCCTATTAAAGTTGAAGAATGCTATTAGCAGAGCTACTTGAAATCTGCAGTGACTTGTAGCAGATGCCTAAAAAATGCCTTTTTGCACAATTTAAACTTCTTTATCAAGCTGTTGAAATTCTTTCTGGTTTTTTTTGCCTTTTTTTATATTTATACCTGTAGAGATGGCAGAAAGAAGTGAAAGAGGATGAAAAGTTTTGAAAGGCATAGACAAAACATACATTCTGTAAATTAAGACCCGTATTGTCAGCTGTAAGTTACATTATACCCTTTCAGCAAAAATAAGGGACATTCTACCCTGACTCTAAAATACTGTGCATAAGCAAAATTTTTTTTTTGCCAGTTAAATCTTCTTTGAAATAGTTAAATCTCAGCTGTGAGGCAGAGTGAAAGGGATTTAGCTCCTTTTGAATTGTTCTAAAGTCCAGATTGTGTAATATTCAGGTCTGTCTTTGAAAAATAAAATGATTACTCTATCAGTGACCAACTGTTTATTAATTTAAGGTCTTGAGGGAGTAGATTTAATATCGATGGGGACACAAGGCAATTTTCCATTGGGAGTAAGTTATTGGTAGCTTTATGTACTTTTCAACAGCAGTCACTGACCAGGTGCTCCCCTGCTTTCTGACCAGCACTTCTCTAAGGTTTCGTAATAGCACCCTCATTGTTAAATGAATGGAGATGGTACTTGGAGCACTGGTCCCCCTTGCCATTGGTTATCATTTAGACCCTCTGGTGAAGCACTTGATTGCAGAAATTAAAAAGTTAAATCTGGGAGAGAGTGGGGAGATTGCCCATTGCTTCTTATGGTTCACAAAGGTTTGGGAACCTTAGAGGCTTTGTAATACATACTTTTTGAAAATGAGGCTGCATGTGACAGTTTTGCTCTCAGTGTAAACGTGTTCCTCTGTGAAAGTAAAGCTAAGGCTTTACTTCTAAGGCTTTTCAGAAAAAACATGGGAGCTTCCAAACAGTAGACAACAATTTCTGTCCGTCATGGATGGTATAATACTGTTGCAACAGATCCTCAGCTGGACATCTCTGACTTCTGCAGTGAATATGCAGTTTTTATATGCTAGGCTGCAGCCAAGAAGGCTCTTCCTCCTTGCAGCATTTCTCATTTGCAGAGTGCATCATAAACATGTCTACTCTCCATTTTATAAGTTGGGAAACCAAATCAGGGAGTTTAAATGATCATCCCAGGCTGCACTACTACACCACAAATACTAAGAGTAGGACATGGCAGTTCCATAAAGTGTTGATGGTTTTAGTATGTCTACTGTCTGTAGTCAATTTTGCGAGGCTTTGGTTTATCACCATCTTGAACATGCCAGACTGTGCTGTTTGACTAGAGAAAAGGCCTCTGCACAGTCTTTTGCAGTGGAAAGGCTATGTTTGGAGGCTACAACCTAGTTTACCAAAAGTTCCCCATTTATTACAGCATCTTCACAGTGTTGTGGTTTTTTTTCTATTTTGCAGATTTTGCCAAGGGAAACTCAGTCAGATTTAAACCTTCACGATTGCTCCTAAGGAAGAGAGCGTTAAGGTAAGGTGGAGTTTGTCTTGCCCAGTGAAGATCACTGGTTGCAGTAACTTACAATCATTGCTTGAATCTACATTTATTCTTTTGTTGGGAAAAGTAATTATTGGTCCTCTCACAGGACCAAGCTCCAGCATAGAGCAGATGCTCTGAATGAGTCTTAAAACCACCAACTGCCTCCTAAGTAATGTTAAAATCTATAGCTGGAATTGCTAAGGGAAAAGTCCCACTTTGCACTGGGCCTCGTGCCACTGCAGTGCACATTTTTCCTTGTGTGGCATGGGCACAATACAGACCAGTGAACCAGCTTGAAATACTTACCTGCCTGTAAAAGAAAGTGGCTGAAGTGGATGAAATAATTATATATCCTTGCAGGGAGCTTTGTCAGCAATCTTGGGGAGAGAGATGAGGCGGGACACTGCAGAGGTGAATGGACAGCTGGTGTTGCTGCTTCCTTGCAGGGCTGTGCTGCCTTGTGCCTGCATTCTTAGGAAGTGGTTCCATGGGGCTGAATAAGGAGATACAATTAAGCAAGATGACAATCACGTTGCCTTTCTCTTCCCGTTCTTACTCCAGCTGTTTTTGGTGTCCACGTTTGGGCTTGCTGGAGTCATCCATAGTGGCACAGAAAAGAGATCAGGGAACTGGGAACTGACTCTTGCCCCAGCAACCAGCCGTGTTGTTGGCTCAGCTGCACAGTAATCCACCAGCACACAGGTTCACTTTGAAGACTTCTTTTCAGTCAAGGCACACCACTTGGAGCACACCTGGTTCCCTGTGATGTTGTTCCTTATGTCCTGTAGAGAGATGGAGAAAATAGGTGTACAAGACACACTGTGTTATGAAAGCAGGTAGGGGAAAGTAGAAATGAGAGTAGCAGAGAGGGATGTGACTGTAGAATGGACCTTTTACTTAAGAGTCCAAGGAAGGAAATTCTCCTGGAGGTAGAGAAAGAGGAGCGAACACCAAGAAACCAGTTGGCAGGTATACAAGTGGATTTTGTTCCAATTTTGTTTCAATCATAAAATCTCAGTATATCCTGTAGCTTTAAACGGGATGGCAGGTCAGTGTTACCAAGTGGCATTTGGATCAAACTTCTGGTTGCTTTTGGGCGTGTAACTAGGTTAGTGGGACAGCTATTTAGAAACTTTATGCTGCTGCTGCTGCAGCAGATGAAGTTTGCAGCCTGGAATCCCTGATGTATAGAATACGGCCTACACTTACTTTGGAAGTTGGCAGAGCAGTATAACTGCTGAGACTGTCAAGTACTCTACTAATGCTACATTATACATTGTTTTTTAAAACTATGGAGATTGTGAAATATTGTTGCCTCTGTTTTAACAGGAATCATCTGAATTCCTGAACACTGGAGAGTATAATGAGTTTGTTGGGAAGCTGAGGCCAAACCACACACAAATCCTGTGTGAAACAAACTGGTGGGACCTCATGCTGTTGATTGCATTTCACGAACCATGATCACAGGCTATGTTTCAGGCAAGGAAAGGGCAAGAAGTTCCTCTTTCATTATCCAGATTTAACAGGGACCTTAGGAAATAATTGTTGCAAACTTCTAATTTTTTTTTTCATTTAGAGAACCCCTTGTATGCCTTAATTATTTTAATAATGAATGTGCAGAGCCTAGCTGGTAACTGCAGAAATTCATGGTACTGAACATATCTGTTCAGAATCTGCACCTAAATTTATAACATGACTAGATGTAGCCATGAGATTTCTAGAAGAGGGTTGTGGATGAGTTTGAAGGTACAATATATCTGGCAATTCAAGTCTGACTATCTGACTCTACTTAAGCAATTGAATTGATGCAACTCCTTCTTCAGGAAAGTAATAAAACTGGGAGACTTATGAATATATTCCTTTGAGGAAAAAGGGAAATCTTAGTGAGGAATTACTTATGAGTTTATTTTTTTAAAAAATACTTATGAGTAGTGAGTGTCCTGTACTTTTTTTTTTTTTTTAATTTGGAATTGCTTTAACATCATTTCAATTCAATTTGGATTCCTAATGAATGTTCTTATTGAATACTGTGACATGTCCTAAATATGCCTACTTTCATTTTTAGAACTAATTTGATATATGTGTCTATAAATACCCAATTGTTTGGCTTGACTCTGTCAACTTCAGAGCACTAATCTGTCTCTGAATCCTCTGCACATGTGAAAGCAATGTTATTATACACTGGATTAAAACATTTTGGTTTTTTCATGTGCAAATATTTAAACCAAGCAATGCCACCTGCAACTTAGCTAGAGAGAGGAAAAAAAGCCTCTGAAGAGATAAAACTCCTCAATTGTGGATTAAATAGTGTATGAAAATTGGTAACCCTTAAAAATGTAAACAGGTAAATAGGTTTGGACAATCTGTTCAGAGTGAAATGGAAAATGAGGGCATAGGGAAAGCTATGAAGGGACTTTCACAAAGCAAATAACCTGTGATGCTGTTTAGCCTAGTGAAGGTTAAACTTAGGAAGTTTGTGGTTATCTAAAGAATTTTAGTGAAATCTGCCAGTGAGCAAATGTTGCAAGCCACCCTCTGCACAAAGGAGGAGGGAACTCGCATACAGGAAGAACTGGATGACCTTGAGGAGTAATAGAAAAAGGATGTAATGTAATAATACTAAGTGCACAGTTGTGCATTGGGGGCTGATAAATTTTTCTGTCACTTGCAACTGATGAAAGCAAAACCTTGGCATATTAGTTTCTGATGCAGGATTGAGCAGCCAACATAGTGTAGATATAAAAAGGCAAAGGTGTTATAGATCCCAGCATTCAACTAACTAGTCATATAATAATGCTTTCTCTATTAAAATTCCTATTTTTATAAGATACTGCTCAGACCCAGATCTGGAATCAAGACTATCCAATTCTGGTCATGGTATACAGAAGAAGATGACTTAAAACTAGAATAAGTGGAGAACAGATTTTTTTACAGATAATCAATGAAACTGAGAACCTGTTTTGAGGAAGCTAAGTACATATGGATAACTTCTGTTAAGAAAAATAAGGAAGGTAAACAACAACATTGTCATGAGAATGAATGGATGAAAACCCAGTGAAAGGCATTTAGACTGAGTTTAGATGATCTCTGGTTTCAGAGTCCGTGGAACTCCCTGGAGTGAACGTAACTGGTTTATAGTACTTAAGGATTGTTGAGGAATCCACAAGCAATCCAATAATACTGTTCTTTTTAGAACCAGCAGGATAGTGCCAGTCTTGATTCTGTATGATTTTACCCTTGGAAATTCGTGTAGGAATGAGACATAGTTGTCAGTGCATGATTAATTTAAACAAGGCTTTTGCTGTATGAGGGAATGCTTTTCTGTACAGAGTCCCATGTTTATGGAAACTTAAGGTGCTGCACTGTCACAAGCGTTATGGAAGCAAGTGGAGATGCTGCTAAATAAAGCACAAATATTCAAAAGTTATGAGCTGGTCCCTCAGCCCTTTTGTCTTAAGTAATTAAATTGATTGGACAAAATAAATTTGGGGGTGGTTTATAGCCTCAGGCCAATATTATTTTCATTTTTCAAACTCATGCTCATACAAAAGGAGTGGAAACTGCTTTCAAATGGGAACTGGGAATCTCTCCACCCAGGGTTCCCCAGAAGCCATGCCTGTAAGAAAGTAACATATTGGGAAACTAGTAAGAATCATGAGTATTGGCAGTGTGGGGTTAGGCATATACAAACATGCTGTTAACTCTCTTGAGTCTCTGCCCAGTCTCAGATGACACATGCATCCATTTTCTTGTGACTGTGTTGCGCTATTTTGTTATTGTATTTTGGGTTTTGTTTAGTTCAATTATAATGGTTTTACCCTGTAAGGATACAGTTTTCTCTAATGGACAGCTTATTGCAGCTCTTCATCTTCTATTTGCAATTTTCTGTAGTGACTAACATTGCTTTTCTTGGCAGTACCTGGAGTAATTTCTGTAAGTGCAGTTGTTGGACACAATTTGCAGCAGGTGGCAGGGTGCCTGGATGTGACACAGCCCAGTTTCTTCATTGTCATTTCAAGGATTTTATTCTCTCCTCAAATGTCTTACAAAGGAATATTATTTATAAATGATAAACAAGCAAATACTTATAGGAGTTCATGAAAAATTTACTAGTCATAATAAGTTAAAACTCTATCCAATGAGAAATGTTCTTTTGTAATAATGAGTGCAGAATTCTTTTTTTACTATTTTTTTTTTTTTGTTTTCTAACCAAATAACCTTGGGGGGAAAGCGCCATTTAAAATCTGTCCTAAGAAAGGATTTTCTAACAGTAAGACTGCATAGTTTTTCTTATCAGAATGACAGTAAATTATATGGCACATCACTACCACGGCAACATGAAGAGCCTAGGATCACTATGAGGATTTTTATTTTTTACACCTGTCTACCCAATTTACTAAGCATTTGGAGACCAGTCTAAGTTGTCTTATGCCCAGTTGAGATAGTTTAGAAGTCATAATGCCAGAATACAGCAGTTTGCTCTCTATTTTTAATAATCAGAGAAAAAAATCTTGCTTACAAGGAGGAACTCTTCCTCCAAAGAAGTCTCTATAGGCAGTATCTACTTTAGACCATTATGACACCTACATTTTACAGTTAAAATGTGTATATTTAATGGACATATTTAAAGAAATATTTTGTTTCACCTAAGTGAACATTTTTCTTGTTTTGAAAAGACATGGTATAAAATTAAATTATCTGACTGATGCTCATATTAATGTATTATAAACCATGTAAATTCCAGAGAACAGTGCAGTAAGAACAATAGGGCAGTCATGCAGAAGGCTACTAGGTGGAGTGTACATACAGTACTGCATTTGATGACATATGTTTTAATATTTATGGAGAACCATTCAATACAGATTATTTCAAATGTAATTGCTTAGTATAGCATTTTGAAGGCAGTCTCCAGTCAGTAATTTAATGCAAAAATGTGTCACAGTCAGTTCCAAACAAGTTTCAAATTATGTTAGGTTTGGCTTTCTGAGTTTCTTTGGGTTATTTCTTAGCTCATTCCTATGGAAAATATTTTCTTGCATATCTCTGTTAGACTATCTTACAGTAAATTGATTACATCTTGGCTTTACTTCATTTGTAGCAGAAATATCCACAGTTCTGTAAAACAGATGTTGCTTTCAGTTTTCAGAAGGAGTTTTCATTTGAAGATAAAGAAGAACTTGCAAACAGCACAAAGGATATTGATGCTAATCTCTTAGCAGTACTTCCGAAAGGTAAGTAAAGGAGACACGTTATGAACACAAGTGGTAATTTAACAGCATGTGAAGTTTAGTCTGTGCAAGTACAAGGCACAGTTAAAATTATTTAGGCACAGATGTTTTGTAAATGAGTTTTCCATGAGAAGTATGCATAAGGGATGAAGCAAGGGATGAACAACAGTGCTCTTTTATAAGGCCTTGCTATATCCCTGCTTCATAAAGTTCAGCTTTGTTTACCTAGTTTTCAATAGGTTAAGAAGTAGCTGAAATTCAAAACTTTAGAAAGGCTTCTTTGTATAGTTGAATTAATCCTGAAATCAAAATATTAACTTGACTTGTAGTCATAGCTCTTTCCAGTCCCCTTTGGTGGTTGATAGAATGGCTGTCCTTGCATGACCACTTGACTACACTCTGAGTTTTTGTCTTATGTGCTAAGCGAGCTGCAGTAAGTATGGACTTTGGCTTGGGTTTCTTTGTTCTTAAACTTCTGTCTTAGTGTGAATAACTTCTGAAGAAAACAGCACTTCCATATTTATCATTTGACACAGTTGAGGCAGAGGTAAAAGTTAATTCTCTTGAATTATTTAGAGAAAATCACAGTATGCTTGAGTTATTGACCTGTAAAGGGTGACATTTGACTGAAGAATTGTGTAACTCCCACAAAGATATTCCCTTCAATCAGGGATGTTATGGATCTCAGAACTTTGATTAAAATTTTGTGTGTGTGTGTCTTCTGGTGATATTTATTCTTTTCAGACAAACTGCAAGAGTAAATGCACTAATTCCAACATAAAAGAACTGGCTTACTCTTTTAATGTCAGTTGTTGCAGGATTCCTTTAGAAAGGAGCCCTTTTTCCACAATAACTTTTACATGCTAATTGAGTGACATGCTTGCTTTTAAATACAATCATTACAGATGTTCAGAAAGAAACATTGTTGACAAAATGATGGAACAGAGTGATATACATTTATACAATACAGACTTCCTGAGAGCACCAGTCAGTAAGAATGCAGAGTCCCCTGTTATTCCTTATACTTAGACTTACAATCGTTCTGGCCAACAAGTTAATTGTGAGAGCCTTCACTTGAGAAATCTTATCTGTAAGTTGCTTCTCAGTGAACTAATTTTTATTTCAGGATTTTTCTATTTTTAAGAAAATATTACCATAATAAAGGCATCAGATTTGGGGTGTACCAGACTTAAGAAACAGTTAGTAGTGGGAGCTTATGGTTTCATTCTAAGGGGACTACTTGAAACCAAATGCTTTCTGAACATCCAGGTTAATTTATCCTTTCTGGGGCCTAACTTTGATTCAGTTTTGCCTATGTTGGAAAATCGGAGGAGTATGTTTAGTTTTCAACTGACACAGACTGAGGTTCCAAGAGTCTGGCTGAAGTCTCACACATTGCTGCCTGCAGTTGGGCATTGAACATGTCAGTACAGCTCTGCTGGCATAAACAGAAGACAAACGCTTCACCAACCTAGTTTTCAGACAACCACCTTTCCAGGTGTGGAGAGGAGGAAGTAGGAATGAGGCTGGTAGGCTTTACTATTGTGTTAAATTTTTCTCAAAATGAAAACAGATTTTACCCATGTTGCAATGGTTATTTATCATCTCTGATAAATTAAGCCTCTGGCAGGTAAACTTTTGATCCGTGTCCATCCAGGTTCACAAATGTATGTGCTCACTCTCTCTTAGGAACTTTTGGGAGGCTTAATTGAGGTTTTACAGCTTCTGAACTGTAAAAAGAAAACTGCTGTCCCATGCCTACAACTTTATTCATGTGTCCCCTCTGCTGTTGTCAAAGAGGGCTTTCATGATAAACATGTTTATATTCTGTAGCACGTTTTTGAAAGATTTCTGAATACTATAAGAAATATTTTATCTTAATTTAAGGAGTTTTTAAAAAATTTGTATGAGGTGCACTCCAAATGTATTTGTTGGATTTTATTCTGGGACGAGACATGGAACAATGCTGCTTTTCCTGATTACTGGTGTTCTAAGGTAAATTTTGTTTAGAATGTCTACACTTACCAAAATTAAGATGCCTATTGGCAGTCAACCTTAGAGGGTATCCTACCATAGCATCCAGCTCAATAAAAAATAAAATAAAGCCTCAAGTTCAGGGCTGTTTCTGAACTGTGGCTGTTCTTCCTCTTGCCCTTAAGTGACCAGTGGTGTTTACAAATTGTGTTGCCTTGAATTAATCTAGATAAGGAGCTTTTACTGTGAAATTAATTATTTTAAGCTTCTTAGTCTTTTCCTGTGTGCTGAATCAGATCTTTGTGCTAATTTTTAGGTAGAAGTGTTGTTACTCTTCTAACCCTACCATGCTGTAGTTTCTGATGGTCACATGGAAAAAACATCCCATGAACAGATGGACGTTGGCACCAACCTATTCAAATTGCAAACTAAAAAGGAGAAACCTGGTCACCTAAGTTTACCAGGGTCAGCCAGTGTCCTTGGGAGTGATATGTCTCCAATTGGCTTTCATGTTTTGAAGTAAAATATTTTATTCATCAAAAAGAAATCACAAGAGTAGAAAAATTCCTGCATTTAATCTTTTTTTTTTTGGGGGGGGGGGGGGAGGGGAGCGTTTTTGCTTCTTTTTCCCCTCCAAAAGAAGAATAGTACTGGAACTGCTTTTAAAGAAAAACTCTGCAGATGTTGGCCAGCTAAGCTGAAATTGTGTGGAAAAACTGTAAAGCAGCATAGAGTAGTCCCATGCTATTTTTGTCCTATGTTCTTTGGGAAGGTGTTGGAGAGATTCTTCATGGGACCAGTGCTCTTTTTAGGACTGCAAAGTGGTAGTAGAATCTCTGGAACTTCAGCTAACATGTAGCAAAGAGGGTGTTGAGCTAATGCTTCTGGGAGTTCTTTAGATTTTCCATATTTCTCGTATGTAGACAACTTATGGTCATGTTTCCTTTTCTGTGAGTGGGGGGAAAGGTAAGAAAACTTCTGTTATTATATGAAGCCATGCTTTAGAGCTTTACTAAAGTTGTGTAGAAAAGCTGTTCTCAGATAATGATTTTAGTGACTAGAGGAGGAAAATTATTAGGATTTGGATGGAATGTGGTTTTATTACTGTGAGCTTTGGAGGCCTATGACTGAAGTAACAGAACAATTACGCGGGGTTTTTTGACTGTTTTATGTGTGTATAGCTAAGAGATGGAAGAGAAAAACTCCAATAGCTAGAGAAATACTTAAACAGAAGTAGATTTGGGGGCGTGAGAGCGAAGTATTTATGAGAAAGCATTTCCTTTGGTGTGAATCGGAAATGAAGACTAGTTTCATTAGGGTAAGTTCTCTGTTTATTACAGTTCCACTGCTAGCACAGCTTGAGTGGGCAGGGCAACAGTGGAAACTGCCCATTCATTGAGAGAAAAGTCATAACACAAAATAACATAAGGGCTCATCTTTGCTTTGGTGTAAATGCGAATTTTGTATTGCCCAGGTCCAGAGATATGTGCTTGGAATTTACTGATTTTCAGTGACTATCTTACACTGTCAAGCTGGTCAGTAGCACAGGCGTAGACTTCAATCTGCTTTGCTGCAGATGCTGAACTGAGGCATGGAAGAGGTGTCCACTGGGTTAGCTCAGGATGCACTGTTAGCACTGTTAAGTAGCTGCATCCTGAGCTACTCTGCATCAAATGTGTACATGTTAGATTTTTTCAGGGTATGATCACAATCTGAGCTAACCTGGCTTGAGAAATTAAGGTAGCTATCTTAAGTTTGCTTTCTGTAAAAATACAGACTAAAGGAGCTGTTTTTGAGAGTGGTCCTGTTCATTTGTTTTCTCTGTTCATTGCACGTTCTCAGGAGGCACTCATCTGTAGCCTCAGACACTGCGTTCATATCTCATTCATTTGCATCTCTGAGTCATGATCAGAATATGTTCATTCTTGCTGATCTAAGACATTTTATCTGTAGTCCTAGTGACTTTTCAGCACATAAGGCTGATACGACAGCCAATGTTAGTTGTATCTATGAGGTAGGAGCACTGGTATTGACTACAACAAACTTCCTGGATGTGTCAGCTGAGCTGAAGCCCTGACCTAGCTATGTGTGTAAGATCTTGCAATACAGGGAAGGGATAGAAGGTGCATCTGACCTTTAAAAGGGTGGTGTTTCAATAGTGTTTATCTTGTAAGTAGAGCAATGAACTCCGGTAGCAAAGAGGTGATAGAACCATGTCTGCTAGACAGTCCTGACTCATCAGGCGTTTCTGATGGCAATCTCTGGCTAGTTTAGCAGGCTGTAGATTTTAGCTTGCTTTGACTTTTGATCCTTGGGTCAACGTGGTCAGAACCCCAGAGGTGCATTGCATCAGAGTAGGTGCACAGAGCTTTCAAAACTACATTTACCAAGGCAATGATACCAAGGCATGTATGTATGTGCATGTGTGTGTGTTAGGAACACACTCACCCCAGTCCACTGCATTCTTTAACAACGTGGAGGGTTTCTCTTCCTGGGGGTAAGAAGTCATACCACACTTGTTTATGCAGCACTCACTACTCCAGTGTGGTTTACATATGCACATACATGTCTATATATAGGGATTACTTCATCTATCGTGCCTCCTCTTGGCTCACTACTGTTTGAACTGTGACAGCTGTCTAGTAGCACATAACAGCAGCAAAAAGTTCAGAGGAAGTGAAGAAAATTATGTCCAATTAAAACTACAAGGGAAAGTTAGCAAAGTAGAAAGTGATTTACCATGCAGGAATATCATGGCACTATAATTTTCACTCCAGCAATGAGTCAATGGGATTCTTGGGATTTGCTCAATATGAGGGAGTGGAGGAAACTAAGAAATAGGGGACACTGTTTCTCTTTAAGCATAGTCAGTCCCTGACCTTTGTGTAGGCAGGGAAAACAGTAATTTCATACTACCTGGTTTTGAAACAGGTTACTATGGCATGTGAGCTTGATCTCAGCTAACCAAAATACAACTTGTCCAGTATATACTACATCTTGAAAACTGCTAGGATGGCATAGCTAATTCGAGTTCAGCCTGGAGATGGTGATCACATCTGTATGTCTAATGCACTTTAGACAACACAAGCTTAATAAACTAGGAAAACAAGAGGAAAATGCTCATTTCCTGACGAAAGCTATTTCAAAACTCTGAACTTTATTTGACTGTTCCTTCTTACTCTAAAGCATTTAGCAAGTTTTAGTAGCTTATAAACTACATAATCTTTTGTTGTCTCAGTTTCAGAATTAAGAAAACTGTTTGAACCAAACAACGGAGATTTTTTGGAAATGAAAAGGTAAAAACGTCTTTGGCCTGTAAAAAACCCCACGCAACTTGTTTTGTAACCTCCTCTTAGAAACTCTCCCTTCATATTTTCAAGATGCCTGTTTTCACATTTTTCACATATTTTTCAGAAAAGAGAGAATAGCTAGACGCTTAGAGGGAATTGAAAATGATACACAACCCATGCTTCTACAAAACTGCCCAGGATCAGTCACACACCGTTTACTAGAGGAAGATACACCAAGATATATGCGTGCGACTGATCCATACAGTCCCCACTTAGGTAAGTAGCATGTTTCAGTCAGTCTTGCATTGATAAGTTACTTCATGTTTACTAGCCTATCAGTTGTGCAGTCCAGTCCACAGAGAAGAGTTCTACAGAAAAGCTGTGACAGGGTGGTTTTTCTTTAACTTGCCTTGTGAGTCTCCAATTGTCTTACTTGAAAAAAGTAAGACAAAAAAAAAAGTAAAACAAATATTGTTTTAAAACAACAATATGATATGGGAACTATTAATACTTCTTAAAGAAGTATTACTAATACACATTTCTTAATCATTTGTATGTGCTTTTGGAGACAAGTGCAAAAATATAATGTGTCTGTGCAGTCATTTTGATTTGTAAGAAAATAGGAAGCTTTTAGTTCACTCAGTTGGAGTGATGGATAGGGTACTTGGAGTTTTGGGATGGACTTGCTTATGTATGTTGTACTTTTGACAGGAAGATCAAATGAAGAGGAGGAAACTTCAGATTCTTCTGTAGAAAAACAACCCAGATCATCTAGATACAGATCAGAAATCACAGGAGGTAATACAGAGCCCTTGTATAGTACAGGAAACATGGATGTCCAGGAACTAGAGTCAAAAGCAGAGAGAATAGCTAGGTACAAGGCAGAGAGGAGACGCCAGCTGGCAGAAAAGTATGGATTATCTCTTGATTCTGATTTGGATTCTGACTACTCATCCAGATATACGCGAGCAAGGAAAGATCATGACAGCGGGGAAAGAAAGGGAGTGAAAAGTGAAAGGCAAGATGATGAAAACAAGGACTATGGCACCTTGTATTTGTCCAGGACTGAGACAAAGGGGTCAAAGAGTGTAATTTCTGATTCCAAAGAGTACTCCAGCCACGAAGACAAAGATGACCTCTCAAATGAAAAGAGTGTTAGAAAAGCAGATGATGACAGTGCCATTAGACGGGCTTCTGACCCTTCAGCAAACTTGGATAGTTCTGTCTCCCTTTCACTTTCTGGACGAGAATCTTCCTCCTATAATGAAGTGCCGATATCACCAAAGCAAACTCCCAGAGAGTCCCTTTCTTCACCAAAGCGGGCAGCCTCACCCATCCACTTGCAGAATGACCAGCCCTTGCACAGTAACAGCAGACAAAGGTAAGCATGATTTTAATTTTTTTTGTTTTACAGTGGATTCCTTTATCTTAATCACCTTCTGCAGCAATGTCTACAGTATTCATGAGAATGTATATATTACCCTTGAAAAATGGCTTTGGATTGGTTGGCTTTATGGACTCATAGTATGTTTCTGACACAAGGAAGTGGGTATATATTTCTCTGATTAGCTATGTCCTTGCTTTCACTTTTCCTTTATAGAATTTTTGCTAAAATTAGGCATTCTGGGGGAAGCAGTGGAATAACTGATGTTTAAGATATTTACACAAATTAGAAATTGAAGGAGTTATGTGGTTCTAAATTTTCTTTTTTTTTTTTTTTTTAATGACCTATTATAGCAAGCCTTTTAACTGTTTTTCCTCTATATCCTGTGATTTTTTGGTAGGGGCTTCCAAGTAAAGGTAAGCTGTTTCTCAGTGAAGATTTTAATATCTTCATGATGGGTCCTGCCAAAATAAAACAGTTCTCAGAGTTAAAAGCTGAACACTGTCTTGGGTCAGTTGAGATAATAGTTGATTTGTTTTCATGATGTGAAAGTGTAAAAACCTTTTTTGAACAGTGATAGTCATTCTTTCAGATAATGTCAGTCATACATGTGCATGAAGGGGCAGAGGGGAAAGTTAAAATTCCATGCTGAATTGCTTCATATTTGACAAATTTACTACAGTAATAGGGTAACCAGATATTTCCAGATGGAAAAAAATCAGTTTTCACTAATTTCATGTTATAATTTCACAGTGTATTGCCAAAACGCTGTCAAATTCTTATGGTGACTGAAAACAATGCATGAATAAGAACTTTTTAAAAATATGATTTTCCCTAAGTGTGATTCTTTAATTTCTAGGTAGATGGATAGATAAAAAATAAAAACTGTAAAAACTTACAATATTGCAATTAAAAATGATGTAAATTACAATGAGAACTTAATTGTAAACACATCTGTATCATGCTGAGCAGTGTTGACTGTAACTGAAATAACTGGTATAAACTGAACCATTTATGCTTTCCATAGAGCACAAAGGGACTCAATCCCCAGGTGTGAGAAATCAGGAAAAGAAGGCAAGAGACCAGCATGAATGAATTGATACTAAAGGGCAAGAAGCAAATGTACAGGCAGTTGAAGCAGGGACAGGTATTATGGGAGAGTATAGGGACACTGCCCTGTGGTGTAGGGATGGGGTTAGGAAGGCCAAGGCGAAGGTGAAGCTGAACTTGGCAAGGATGCAAAGGTAACAAGGACTTCTGCAGGTATATTAGCCAGAGAAGGAAGGTCAAAGAAACCAAGACTGGTAACAATGGACATGGAGAAGGCTGACATACTCAACTACTGTTTTGCTTCAGTCTCCAATGGCAACCTCTTTTCCCACACTGAGCTCAGTGATGTGGTTGACACTCCTGAAGGATGGGATATCATCCGGAGGGATATGGACAAGCTCAAGAAGTGGGCCCACAGGAACCTCATAAGGGCTTCAGTAAAGCCAAGTGCAAGGTCCTGCACATGGGCCAGGCAAGCTCCAGTTCCAAATACAGTCTGGGGCATGAAGGGATTGAGAGCAGCCCTGACATGAAAAACTTTGCGGAACTGGTAGATGAAAAACTGGACATGAACTGGCAATGTTCACTTGCAGCCCAGAAAGCCAATCCTGTCCTGGGCTGCAAAAAAGGTGTGGCCAACAGGTCGAGGGAGGTGATTCTGCCCTCCTACTCCACTCTCATGAGATCCCACCTGGAGTATTGCATCCAGCTCTGGAGTCCTCATTACAAGAAAGACATGGACCTGTTGGAGTGAGTCCAGAGGAGGACCATAAAAATGATCAGAGGGATGGAGCACCCCTGCTATGAGGAAAGACTTGAGACAGTTGGGGTTGTTCAGCCTAGAGAAGAGAAAGCTCCTGGAGACCTTATTGCAGCCTTTCAGTGCTTAACAGTGTCTTATAAGAAAGATGGGGACAGACTTTTTAACAGGGCATGTTGCAATAGGACAGGGGGAATGGTTTTAGACTAAAAGAGGGTATATTGAGACTAGATTTAAGAAGGAAATTTTTTACAAGAAGGATGATAAAACACTGACACAGGCTGTCCAGAGAGGAGGTAGACACCCCATCCCTGAAAACATTCAGGGTCGTGTTTGATGGGACTCTGAGTAATCTGGACTAAAGGACCTTTAAAAGTCCTGTCCAAGCCAGACTATTCTGTGATTCTGTGAATAAGTAATAACTTAATACACATTTCTGGCTCCATTATCTCTAATTTCAGATTCTTTCTGGGATGAGGCTTTGGTCAGCATTTGCATAATGTTTCCCATAAATACTGTCATTCTTATCTTTTGAAGGAAATCTTCTGCACCCACCAAGATAAACCTAGGATTTGGTCTCTTGTTTGGACACACATATAGGCAATAGGTGGTACTTTAAAGGCTGAGTTGCCAAGAGCCTGTTCTTTAATGCTGCTGACACTTACAGTGCCAGTGTGTACTCACTGGTGTGATATTCAGAGATGTAACAATAACCTCTCAGAAACTCTTGTCCCTGTTTCTGCATGGTAAAAAAGTCGTTGTCTGTTTCCATGCAGTCCATTTAAAGTTACTGTATGGTCCTGTTCTATAAGATTGTTTGCACAAGAGAATAAGGGCTAACTCCAGTTTTTCAGGTGACTGCTGTTCTGAAGTCAGTTCCACACTATATGGGTTGCAATTTTTTTTTATTATTTTTTTCTTAAATTTAAATTTCCTGAGTTCAAATTGGAAAATAAATACCACTTGCTTTGGAATATGTCTGAAGGCTTTGTGCCTTCAGTCCTAAGAAGATTTAATAATTAATCCTGTAACCCATCACTGAGAAGACAACAAAGTGCTGAGCAGGTATCATTTGACATTGCCTGCGTTTGGCTGCTGAAGTGGCTGATTAACTCTAAATTCAAAATGTGACTTGCCTTCTTTTGACTGCACTCTTCAAAGGATGAATGATCAAGTACAAATAACTGCTGCCTGGGCCATGCCCACTATAAAAATGTGCCAAAGTACACATTAAGAGAGGAGAAGGAAGTTCCCGTGCTTCAGAGCAATTACAGCTACTGTGGCAGCTTCTGTGAAAGGGTTTTACCTTCTATTTGGTCAGTTCCATTAGGGATTCAAAAACATTTGGAAAAACAAAAGATGTTTCAACAGTTGGTGTTTGTCTTTGTTCTAAGATTGATTTGGATACAGTGACAACTGTAGGTGAGTTCTCAAATTTAAACTTATTTGCAGCAAATACACTGTTATCTTAAGAACAGTTGTTGATTTGACCTTTTTCAGTTATTTTTCTTTAATGACCAACTAAGAAAAATTGAAGTAGAGGACCTGGAGCTTAATTTGGGATTTTGATCCCAAATGGCTCTACTGCAATGTGAAAAGTTCTTTCAGGTGTACCTGTAGGTAATGGGAAGCATCCTGGACTCTTGTCACCCTAGAGGAGTGAGTTTGTAAACATTAATGTGGCAGGACAGCCTGTGCTTGCAAGGTTAAAAGTATTTGATGTGATCTACTGTTGCTGAGGAATTTTAGGTGAAGGTGGGCATTAGGAAAGGATTTGAGAAACTGTATATAAGAAGTCTGTGAACACCCTTTCCTGCGGAGCTTTTTGAGGTTTCTTTTTATGTTCTTGTTTCTTTTTATGCTTTCAATGCCAGAATCGAAACAGAATAAAGTCAGAAACTTTGTTTCTTAAGCTTTTCCTTTCCCAAGTCACCTAGTGACACAGCATGTTTTACTTTTGCTAATTGAAGCTTTTGTGATACAGGATTACAAGAGGAGAGAGAAGTTCCAGATGCTCCTGAGAATTTCTTAGGAAGTACGATGTAGCCATCTGAATTTTTAGCTTAATTGAATTCCTATTACTACTTTGTTTTGGATGCAGCAGTCTTTACCACTTTAAACCACAAACTAAATTAATGGTTTTAACAACTTTTTCAGATGTTCTTGCACAAACTGACCTGCAATGACAAAGGGCAAAAATAAGGTTGTGTAGTTGCTTTCACTTCTGAATTTGGACAATGTACACTTGGTGAAGTTACTTTTGCAGAATCTTTACCATTTAGAACACTTTCTAGATATTTGTGGAATTAATATGATAGTTTGTTTCACAGTTTACCACCTTTGAATTTGATTAGTGTACATTGCTTTTCTTGAGCAGTCCTCCGCAATTGAGTGGATAGAAATAAAAATCAGTGGGGAGGGAGGATCAGGAGAAATAACAGGAATGTATGTTGAGTTCTCAAAAGTTACTTGAAGTTCTATTTTCTGTAGTAGTGCAGGGAAAGCAAAACCTGAATGGTTTCTTCAGAAAGATTCGGAAGGGGACACACCTTCACTTATCAGCTGGCCCTCCAGGTATCATAAAACATAGCTGTGTGGCTAACAATCAGATTACAAACCTCCCCTTTCTTTCCTTTTGCTCTGTATTCATTTAACACTTGCCTTTAATTTTCCTTTAACAGCAACAAGTTAGAAAGTGTTATTTCTTGTGGATAAAGAGCTGTTGAAACTTTTTTGAAGCATCTGCTTTTATTCTAACTCCTGACCAATTGGTATTTTGATGAAGAAGTACAAATGCTTTCAGCTTCTTCCACAGCTACTCTCATTCTGGCTTCCACTAAATTTTGTAACTTCTTGTTTGATCCCACTTTGTACTCTGCAAACAGCAGATTTGTATAACATACACCAATCCATCTCATCATTCCCTACAATTAATTCCTTGAATTGCAAAAGAGATGGTACAAGGGAAGTAAAAAAAAAAAAAAAAAAAATATGGAAAAGTAAACCAAGATCTTGATCGAAGCTACAGGCAGCTGCTTTCTACCAGTTTGGTAACATATACAGAGATCCCACCATGAAAAACGTTTTAGGAAGACTCTTTTACTCTGTTTTGTGTTTCTGATTAAAGTAATTCTTATAACCCAGTACTAATACCAGTGTGGATGTTCTGGAGAATGCTTGGTACATGTAGTTAAAAAAATACTTTTTCAGACTTACACTCTTTCTGTGCTTAAGTAACTTTAAGGAGTTTCCCTGGTAAGTGCATCAATCCTCAGAGGTAAGAAGGACTGAAATATTACAAAGATTGGTGTTTAGGATAAATTTGGATATCCTGAATTATCCTCTTAGATACTTTACCTCTTTTTTCCCTAACTTTTTTAATAACACAAACTCCAAAAAGTCTGTTGGTAGCAAGCCTGGAATTGCACATGCTCTGAGCTGGATAACTTATTTTCAAATATAGAGAGCTACTATCCCATTTTATTTATCTCCTTCCTCAGAATTAAAATAATCTTTTATACCCATTTGGGAGGGGAGGAAGTACAGGGCTTTTGTTTTTAATACTGTATGTGCGTTATCTACGAACGCTGCCCCGTAAGCTGTCTGAGCACTTGGCGAGGCTGTAAAACTGCTGGAGAGTTGACCTGCAGTGACAGTCACAGAGCAAAGGCTACCTCTGGCTGCATGTGCGTGCCTTCCCTTGTGCTGTTGCATTTAGTTTTTAAAGGTGAAATATGACTGTTTTGCGTGGATGTTACACAAGTCCAGAGGTGTTTCTATGAAACACACTGAAGGTAACTTTTGGGAACATTCCTATAAGTTTTTGCATGTTAGAATGTAATGAAACCTTTTAAAATAGAAAGTCTGTTTTGGTTTCTAAATCCCTTTCTTCCCTGCAAGCTCTTTAAAGAGTAACAACCATGCCATAGTTTCACTTTGGGCTGTAAGACCTTGGCCTTTCAACATTTGTTCTCACTTACTGAAATAGGTTACACTACATGTAACATTTCAGATGTCTTATATGATACACAAAAGCACAAGTAAACCAGTCTCTGGCAAACCATCTGAAAGGCTAGGTGGAGATAATATGTTTTTCATCTCTTTTTCCAATGCAAGAACATCTTGATATGACATAAGCTGCCCGGTGTTTAGACATCTTCAGAAATCTGACTTCATACGTGATTGCCAGCAGAATTTGCAATTTCAGGCTGAACCCAACACTTTGATAATATAAAATGCAGTTTTGTTTATCTTGTTTGTTTGAGACCATGGGTATGTGCTGTTTGACAGACACAGTTGTGATCTCTTGGGAACATGCTGTATGTTTTCAGAGCTTGCACAGTTACCTTCTCAGGAGTCGTGCATGTTCGAGGACCTCTAAATCCCTTGAGTGTTTTTGAGCTATGTTACTGCTAAGATTTGTGGGGAGGAAGGGGTTGCATCGTAAGATTGCTTTCTTTTATGTGTTGATTGTTTTTTATTTTAATACAGTGTTGCTGTCTGTACCCTCAGTAGGTGTCTGTGTTCCTTTCCAGATTGGGTATTGCTGTTCACAGCTTTAATCCTTTTTCTTTCTTAAAGAGTAAAAGTTAGAGAGAAATTGGTGAAAGAGGAAAGTGCTCGTGGAAGCCCTGAAATTGTCACAGACACAGTATCTCAGAGAAAATCCCACCCAGTGCCAGCCCACTACATGCCTCTTCAGACAGAAACGTCTGCCTTTGATAGGGTCATAAATCAGCCCGTCAGTTCCGTCCGCCAACCAATTCATGGCTATATTCAGCCTGCTGGCATTGCTCACACAGCTCAGCTGATGGCAGCAGAAGAACCAGCAAACATCCCTGCTGGCAACCTCCTCCCACCAGACAGTGTTAGCCTCGTAACAAAATCGTCAGCAGCCACCGCATCAGAGGGTGAAAAGAAAGAAGCACCCAGTTATGGAACAAAACCTGATGAAGAAGGTTCCTTGGAGGGTGATCAGGCTTCCAAAGGCAGAAGACCAATTTTGCCATCTGAGATTCGCAAGCAAGGGAAGAACCATGAGGGCCTCTTTGGAGGAGGAGAATTAGATACCCCTGTGGGGAGTTCCTCCTTTGCAAGCAAGCCAAAAGTTAACTCAGAAGTTCAGAGAGAGTTGGAGTGCAATAAGAGGCAGGCCCCCGACCAGCAGCTTAAGCCCCCTGAGAACATAGAAAGGAGTGAAGCTGTTATGTACATACAGAGTGGATCTGTATTGCAACCTGCCAAGGCAAAGGCTCCTGTTTGGAAAGTGTCAACAACAAAGCATAAGGTCCTGACTCGCTCAATGTCTGACTATACTGTGACTCCTAAGCTAGAAGCTTTTAAAAGTAAGGAGAACATGGAAGCAAATCCACCAAACGGTGAGATTGGCATGGTTGACACGAAAGTCTCTGTTGCCCAGCTCCGTAATGTCTTTCTGGAGACTGCTAATGCCAACAAGAAAACGGAACTGTAGGTGACATTTCAATCATTTTCGTGTGAAACTTGCACGTCCTTGGCAAAAATTACACACACTCAACAGCAGTTGTGTTCGGCACTTAAAGCACACAGCTTAGCTCTCACCAGTGTGTCCTGGAGGCTGAGATGGTTTGAATCACGCTTTTGTGCTTCTGCTTGCTAGTGCAAGTTGTGATGTGGGGTAGCTGGAATGTGTACGTCTGCGCATGTTACCAGAGGAGCATGCAGAGTGGTCTCCAGTGAATTGTTGAGATGCTTACATCTATGCTTTACTTCTCTCTCCTGTTTTCTTTCCTATGCGCTCTCTATCGTGCGATCTGAAAGTGAATCTCGGTCTGAGATGTCAACAGCAGGTAGTACTGTGTCTGCCAATGGTGACCGTGGGCCACGAAAGGCGAGGCGCTATTTTACTCCTGGTGAAAATAGAAAGACTTCTGAGAGGTTTAAAACTCAACCTATAACATCAGCAGAACGAAAGGAGACAGATAGGTAGGCACATATGTAGCTCTGGTGTAGCACTCTGGTGCAGGTAGACATGAACAAGCTTGTGAAAATATTTGTTTGTTTAATAGCATAAACATTTTGCAAGGTTATTGTTTCTCTTTAAAAACAACCCAATATTTGTTATAGCTTCTTATAAAATGAAACCCAAAACACCCCTGACAAAAACAATTTGTTGCAAATTCCTCCCATGTAAAATGGTGAACAGTGAAGCATCACTAAGTACTGTGGCTGTCTGGTTCTGTCTAATAATAAATGCTTTTGGTTTTATATAAAGAGTTTCTTTTCTGTCTACTCTGCTTTATTATTTACTCTTTTTGTAAACTACCAAAACTACCTATTTTATCATAAAGAGCTGGCAGCAAATCTTGGACTTTTATCTTCTGCAAAATGAACTAGAAATCATTTTCCTTTACTGTATTTGGGTTTGCTTGCAGTTGCTTGCCTTTATGCTTTATTAAAGGATATTCCCAAGTGGACACTGTTGAAACTTGAAAAATAGATAAATTCTCCCTTTTCTTAAGGCTTTTGAGGTCTTGCTACTTCAGACTGAATCTGAATTTCATTTTTGATGTCTTGTTTCAAGCTAACTTTTTTCTGTTTGATAATTTTTCACTAGGTCAATTTTCAGTGCAGAAATACCAACTGCTGAAGGTATGTTACTGTACTAAGGAAGAAATAGGAACAAATGTACTTTTTGTTTTAACTGAAGAACTGTTTGATAATGCGAACAAAGTACACTTGAAAATAACTATCTTTAATATGTTTGAAGTACCAATTTTCTTTGGGCCATGTCTACTACAGACTTGATTTCAAATTCATTTAGGACCACAAGTCTGTCTATGGATACCAAATTTCATATGGGAGTCAGGGAGAGAATGGCTTGACACTTTTCAACATAGCTGGGGTTGGGTTTTTTTTTTCTAACTTAGACAATAAATAAGGTAGTTGTTGGGAAAAAATTTTGATCATCAATCAATTTAAAGCAGTGGTCTGGGAGTAATAACTAAAAAAAGGCCTTTAGTATAAAGAGAAACTAATGTTGCTAACTTGTTTTCTGGCTAAGGAAGTTTCAAAATGCAGGTTAGTAAATTATAGAATTCAATCTACCGTCTTGCTTCTCTTTCCCTCTTGTCACCCTTGGCAAGTCTGGCACAAGTTAGGTAGGTAATCTCATGAGTAGCTAAATTTAGATTTAATGCCTTATGCTATTTGAAAGCTGATATTCTCTGCAACTTTGAGATGCTGGCTCTTGGATTCTGGAGGATGCTGATTTCAGCTCCTAAGGATACCAGTTGAGCCTTTGAGAAATGGGGACATGAGGTGGTAATCAGAATGGTCAGCTAGTATAAAATAATGTGTTCAATACTCTTCACTGACCCTTAAGACAGTCTTTAAGTATAATTATTTTCTTAGTCCCTGTGTTATTATAGACTGGTACAATAAGTTTGATTCATAAAAATTTGTTTGGTTAACTTGAAAGGACATGAACTGTCCTGAAGATAAGTTTTTACAAATAATTTCAAGAATTTTCCTCTGACATTCTACATGTAAAAACAGGTAGAGTTTTTGAACACAGCTGAGTTCATGATAAGTCTTTTGTTAAATGGGAGAAACAACCAGCTTATTTGATGGTTCATAATAATTTATTAAAAAAATATATATATTTAATATGAGGTTGATTCATTATGTTCAACCTCTTTTTCTTTTTCCTTTGTGTAGATGAAGAAAAATTGGATGACCGAGCCAAACTAAGCGTGGCTGCAAAGAGGCTGCTTTTTAGAGTAAGTATTGCATTTTCTAAATAAAAGGCTGAATTAAACATCTCATATACAAGATTCTGAAGGAACCCAAAGTGCATTAGAATGAAGTATAATGCAGTTAACCACGGCCAAGCTACATAACCTTTTTTTTCTTACTCTATTCCCTGCTTACACAGTAGACCTGTTGCTCTAAAGCCTTCTTGTCATTTAGAGAGAGGTGTGTAGTTAGTTTTAACTCCATGATGCATTCTGTGCAATTGCATCCTGCTTTTAATTCAGAGATGGACACTTGGGAACTTTACTGCTCTGCATGCAAGAAAGCTGAAAGTAAAGTACTGTTTTAGAACTTTTCGTCTGTGGCTTAAATATGACATGTGTCCTCTTAGGAAATGGAAAAATCATTTGAAATGAAAAATATTCCTAAACCACCTACAAGAAGCTCAGCGGTAGAGAGAAGACTGCGGCGTTTGCAGGATAGATCTCACACACAACCAATTACCAGTGAGGAGGTGGTCATTGCAGCTACGTAAGTCTTGTGCATGTGTTGGCTCTAACTCTGACTCCTGCTTTCAAATCTGGGAATAAGTTCCATCTCTGTGGTGCTTATAACACTGTAGCGAGGAAAACATTTATTGTTAAGGGCCTTGACAACCACAGGGGAAACTATATTGAAATTCCTTTTTAAATGTAGAGGGACTAGTAAAGCATAACTTGTATGAACTGTAATTTGGCAGAAAGTTTAGGAACCTGTGGATTAGGTAAACGAGATTAATCATAGCATTGTTTCATAACTCAAATGAAAAAGATACTTTGCACTGAGGGAAATCTGCTCAATTTCTTATGGAATGTGTACGTATTGGGGAAAACCTTTTACATTCTGAAATCTCAAATGTACTTTTTGGAAATGCATTTCTTCCACTCTGGTCATATATCATGATGTTTTCCTGAAAAAGGGAAAATCATTTTTGGGGAAAATTAGACAAAGGTGAATGGATGTTTGCCTAACGGTCTACTGAAAGGTAGCTTACATTATGGGTAATGAATAAGTTCAAGAGACAGCATGTTTGCTCTTCTAGGTTTTTAGTTCTTTCAAAGTATTTGAAACTATTTTGAAAATGTCGCAGCAGATTAAAAATGCTGTTTGGTTTTTTTCTGTTTTGTTTTGTTTTGGTCTTTTCTGTAGTTAACACTTTATGTATTGCTTTTCTTAATGCTTTTTTCTTCTCTCTCCCTGTGAATTTTCCCTCCTTGGCAATTCTTTAAAGTGAAACTGCCCCTGCTTCACGTTCTGTGAATACCCACACAGTAGTGACAAGAGTACCTAGTCCCACTGTAGTTAAGAGCACTGTACAACCTACCAGGTACTGGGGGGGTAAACATGCATGTTACATGGAGCACAAGATTCTTCAATAGCAGATGCATCTTTAAAGTCTTGAATGCCTTTTCAATGTGTCAAGTCAATACTCATTTCAAGAATATTTAAAACATTGGTCATTTATGTTTGCATGATAAAGCAATGCAGCTTTTTTTTTGTCAAGCATCTGTTTTCAGGACCCTTCTAACCACACTTACCCGCTCTAGACGCATATTCCTCATTGTGAAAGAAGTTAATTTGCATGTGAGCAAACCCAGCAGAACTCTCTTTGCTCTTGTAATTTTTTTTATATGGTAATGTCATCCTCAGATGAAAATACCAACGCCAAGTGCTTGATTTCACAAGAAGTACATGTCCTTTGTCTGTCTCTACATATATTTTTTAGCTTGCAAAATTAAAGGAAATATAAGAAATTGCACCACCTATAGGTAAAGTTGCAGAATACTGTTGTCTGTTCTGAATGAGATAATTTTAGCAGAGACCACGACAGGAAAAAAAAAAATTAGAGAATACTACTAATTAAATAAATGTGGCAGAAGATGAACAATTAAATATTTTATTGTAAAGGTGAATAAAATACATTATTGTAGAGACAAATGCAATTACAGCTTTTATGAATGAACTTGCCTGCCTTCAGCATTGGTCAAACAATCTACAAAGTCAAACCATGTTTCAAAACTAATTTTTTGTTGTTGAGTTACCCCAGATAACTCAAAACAAAAGACAGTCTGAATTCTGTTCCACTTCAAATTGTAAGAGGCATTGCAATTTATGCTAACCTAAAAGCAGCACTAACTTGGAGTTTAAGTCTGTCTTTTAAATGTTTTGATCATATATGGTCCACAAGTTACTTTCAATAAAATTGAATTTTACATTGCACTGTAGGACGGGTGTTTGTTCTACAACAGGCATCTTAAATGTCTCTCCATAGCTCCATATTCTGTATAAAGAGATTGCCTGAAAAATCTCTCTTCAATCTTTAAGTTCCCCTTTTAAAAAAAATGTTGTGTCCTAATCAAGTGAATTTGTGAATGAAAATTTAACTTTTTTTTTAAATCTTCAGCTGTTGAATTAGAATTCATCATGCCAATGTTGAACCACTGCATACCCACTTAGGCTGCTATATTACATTGGCTATTGTGCTTCACATGCAGTTCTTCTGCTTCTATCAGGTTGAGATTTTGAAACTGCATGGCGGCTTCTTCAAAACTAATTTCCAGTTCTGTTTCTTCAGCTTGCAGGCATCAGCACACCAAAAAATTTTAGCTAAAGAGGAGATAAGAGCAGCCAAAGAGGCAATGGGGCAAGATCAGTCTGATGAACCAGATTCTTCCACCTTAAGTTTGGCAGAAAAGATGGCTTTGTTTAATAAACTGTCTCAACCAGTATCCAGGGCCATCTCCACAAGGAATCGAGGAGATTTGAGGCACAGGAGAATGAATGCTCGTTACCAGACTCAGCCAGTCACTCTTGGAGAAGTTGAGCAGGTAAGTGCCATCTTAGCTCTTTTGCATTTGGGTTTGGGTTTTTTTGTTTGTTTTGGGTTTTTTTGAGAAAACAACTTCAGTGTACGATACTGTAACAGCTGCCCTTTCCTTTGCTCTGAGCTACACGTTGAGGAAAGAGCTTGTCAGGAAGCAGACTTCTGACACTGAGGAACAACATCCCCCAAACTGTTGAACTTTGTTGGTGTGGTTTTCTTCTTTTTTAAAGTAATTCAAGAGTATATCATCTTCCTGTTCGGTGCATGCTGTACCTTTCACCGTGTGTTTCTTTTCTGGTAGATATGACATGTCTTCCAAAAGTAAGTTCCTGATCAAAGGGGTAAAAACTGTGACACACATCATCATGTATTTTCAGGGAATTTTGAAGCTTTGTCATGTGCAACTTTCAGACCCATTCCTGAAAGAACTATATATTTCTGTTATTAGTCAGGACATATTCTGTCATTTTCCTCTGGGAGGGGGCATTGATTTTTATCTTATTTTTTTCCCCTAAAAGCTGGATACTTTTGAAATTCAGAAAGTAATGGTCAAAAAGAAATTATTTAATGTGTGCAATGGAATTGAGCTTTCTGTTATGGAATCCTTCATATAATTGGAACTGCAAAGGAATGCCTTTTTGGTGAAGCCTGAGCATAAGGTGGCCCAGCAGTGGTCTTTCAGAGCTGATCACAATAGCAGAAACATCAGTCCCTTAGCTTCCATTACAGCTTCAAAAGAAATCACTTTAAGAGTGAAGCACAACTCCTATGCATGTCATATTTCTAGGGCTTTGGATTAATCTGAGCGTTACAAAGTTCCTACCATTCTCTATCTCTATGCTTCATCCATGATTATGTGTTTTCCATATTATAATAATAGAAGAGTGAGAAGGGAGGATTCCTCTAAACTGATTGGTGCAAAACTGTACAGGCACATAATTATACTTTACACCTACTTCTCTCACACTTAAAGTAGTAATAAGTGTTTGACAGGTTTATTTTAGCAAGCTTTCCAGACCTTATATAGTCCTTTTTCCATCCACTTTCTGTGCGCCAATCACTGTCACAGCCTGACCTCTTTAATGACTGTGTCACTAACTTGTTTGTGGCCCAGGAAGGTGATCAACAGAAATGGGCTGAAGCAGATGGGAAAGAAGTGACAGTCACATTACTTTGTCAGACTTTTACAGAAAAAACTTGCTCTGCAAGCAAGAAAACTCAGAGGAAGCATGTTTTGTCATCTCTTTCTGAACCTAACAAAAGAAACCAGAGTTGACTCAAATAAGTTCAGTGGGAGTGTATTTTCAAAAAGACTTCCTATAACTCCTATAGTTAATTTGAGTGTTGGGATGTTTTGAGATGCAGGTGTGGTTTTTCTAGGAAGAAACAAAAGAGAGCTATCAAAATAGGTAACTAGAGGTTTCTTTCATAGAGGTTTCTTTCCCAAAATGCATAATTGAAAATGTAGATATCTTGTAATTAAAGCTGAAGTCACTTTTCTGATCTCCTCTAAATTTCTAATTCTGATAGATGCAATGGAAAAAAAATAAACTGGTAACTATTTTCTTAATCTTTCTTTGGACTCTTTGACTAACATAGTAGTCTTTGCTCTGCTTTCCAGTTTGCTTAATTAATGATTGTGTTGTCCATGCTTTATGGAATCTGTATGCACATTTTATGTTCTGAGTTGATTTCCTCCTACTGATGTGGTCTTGTCTATAACTTTTGCATGCTGTTCACTAGCTCTGCAGTTTAGGAAAACAATAAGAAAACATCTCCTGATGTGTATGAGGCATGTTTGTCACTCTCTTTCATAGCTTTTGTATCCTTTGAAGAAGATAAAGCTAAGCTCTGCATTTCAGAAAAAAAAAAAATCCATCTTAACTATCTAGGAAATCTTTATAAAATTATTGTGCTAAAGAGTAGAAAAGATTATTTTTCCACTGTGGGGATGGGCAAAGCAAATTTGGAGGTATTTTTAATATGCCTCTTAGGTTCAAATACTTTGCTCATGACAGCCAATATTTATACTTGAAAAAGTCCTGCATGAGGGTGATTTATGTGGCTGAAGCATCAGGAATGTCTGCCCTGTGTAGGACAGCACGGAGCAGTCTCTCTCTGGCACTGAGCAGGCTCCAGAGCTGGAAGCTGCAGAACTGTGTAAGAGCAGAGCTGTGCCAAAGCTAATTAGTCCTGCTGAGATGCAGAGTTGATTAGCCTGGGCACATGGCATGTCATCCAGTGTCTGGAACCTGAACTAATTTCTCCCCACAGTCCCGTGACAGTGTGAGCCTTTCCATGGAGCTCTGACACGATGTCATGTTGCATGCTACACATACACCCCTTATTACTAAAGATGTTGCTGTTCACATGCAGTCATTTTTGGCTGGGGGGGAATTATCCACCTGCAGCCAAATTATAGGGGCATTCTTGTTTTCCTTATCTGTTTCTAGTCTATATTGATAGAGTGCTGTATTTATATAGAATAATACCTCTGAAGAACTGACATGATTAGACTGTTTTTTGGAATTGATATTTTCAAAGCTTTTAAATCTTATTTGGGTTCTTTAGTTGATTTTTTTTAACTCATAGGTACAAAATGAAAGTGGAAAAATCGCTCCCTTGTCAGCCGCAGTTGCAACATCAGTTTCAGCGATGGCATCTGCCCTTGCTCCGTTGTTTGCTGGAGACCTGCACATGAAGCCAGCTAGTGATGGGAGTGTGAGTGCTGCTGCTAGAGCTGATTTGAGGTTCCACTCTTCAGCAGAAAACTTGGACTCATCAGGAAAACGCACACATAAGTCAGAACAGTGGCAGCCCTCGATGGAAGCACTAGAAAGCAGAAGATCATCAAAGAAACATGAAGAAGAGAGGAAGAGGTTTCTAGCACATGAAGCTAATGAAATCACAAAGTACAGCTCCTTTGAGGAAGAAACGACACATCCTGTTCCTGGAAAAACAGGAGACCGCCATAAAGAGACAACATACAGCTTCCTGAGGAAGGGCAGCTTGGAACTGTTTAGTTCACAAGGACTTTTTCAGCCTCTTGAACAGAAGGAAATTGATACTGGCATGCAAGGTAAATGGGAAGTCAAAGAAGGCCAGTCCTTTGAAGAAAAGATGGATTTTGAAAGTATTATGAAAAGCAAGACTTGGCAAAGAGGTGCAGTATATGCTTGCTCTTGGTGTAGTCTCATTCAGCAAATGGTGTTTCAAGCTTTATCAAGGCTGGTTATGTTTCCTTTTTTTAATGCTGCTTAAAAACAGAGAAATATCTGTGAAGTCATAAGTTTTGCAAATACAGGTTTTTATTTTTTATTCTTTCAATTCTTCAGTCTTTAAAGATGGCTCAATTTTATTCAGATTTTCTTACTTTGAAAGTAGTATTATATGCTGAAGCTAAGATTTATCCTTTCTTTTGCCCTTGCCCCTGCACTCCAAAATGCTGAACAAACTGAACTTTCTGCTCTGGGTCAAGTACCTGCCCTTAATTTTTGCCTTATTGTGCATATATAGTTATGAATTAACTACATATGTGCATACGTAACTAGTAGCAGATAATTTTCAGATAATTAATTTTGCAAAATTATTACTATTTTCTTTTTAGTGTGGTGACGAATACAAATCAAGAAATTCTCAGAGCAATTGCATTTCTATATATACAGCATAATTTAAACTTAAAAAGTAAACTTGCTCATCTTTAAATAAAGGATTTTGGAAATAATCAGTGGATTTGATCATTGCATAAAGTCTTCTATTCTGTTGAATTTAGAAGGATGTTGTATTACTTTTATGGCTTATTATGATGGGTGACAGGACCCCAGTACCCTGTAGCACTAAAAGTATTTTTGTCTTCATCTCGTGAAGTTAATTTATTTTGAATTTAATGGTCTTCACACAGGCATAGAGAGGATGGTATAGTTCTGCCTTTATTCCTCAAAGGCAGTATCCATTCTATCAAAATAGCTTTTGATGATTGCAGGAGAGATGGGGACAGGGATAAAATCAAGAAAAATTAAGATCACTTATATTTCTTTAAGGATAATTGTAATGGCGCATTTATCTTTCATCAAGGAGCTTTTCCTGTGGTTTAATTGATACTTAAAGAGACAAACGCAAAGAAGCCCCCAACACCTCCTAGAAAATAATGCCTGTATTTATTAAATGTCCTCCTAGTAGGCTACTTATTATGCACTAAAGTGCTTTACCAATAAGGTAATTTCTTATTTAAATTTTGTCTGCTTCTCTTCCCCTGCTTTTTGTTCCCTCTCACTTTTATCTCTCCATTTCTTTTGCTGTTGGTGTGATGATGGGAGAGGCAGTTTGTGCCTCATCCATTTGAAGTTCGGAACTGTGTGTTGAACACGATATTCTGTGGCTTCATGTGAACATCAGTCACAGCCAGTCTCTGCAGCAAATAATACTTCACGATTAATCTTTTTACTTTAGCTCAGCCAGAATTTTTTCCCTGTTAATAGAGTATGTGATATGAATGTTTAAAAAAAGGGTTTGCTGCTTCAGTGTCAGTAATGTAAAATATCTTTGAGTATAAAACTAAGTCTAATGCAGCACTTCTCTTTTGAATGGGCAGACCATGCTGAGCCTGCTTCTGAACTCACCAGCACATCAGCAATGAGGACTGTTTCACAAACTGCAGCTGCGGCATCCTGTAGACTGCAAGAGCTCTCTGAGCAATTGGATGGCAAATGTTATAAGAATTCCTGTGAGATGTTTTCCACTGGAGAGAGCAAAGCACAAACAACAGAGGATGTCCTTGATAATTCCAGCAAAACTATGTCCATTAAGGAAAGGTACTTAAATTTCACCTTTTTTTAATGATCCCTGTAAATACAGTTATTAGACTGATGATGGTATAAAAAGAAGCTTAAAACTGTTTCTGGAAAACCTAAGTAGTGATTATTAGGCTTTATTATTACTAACAGCACAAACATGCAGCTAATATGCCTGACATCCTTATAAAGCAGATAATAGTGAATGAGAATTACCATTTAAGAGAACATAAAAACCTGATTTTGAAAGAGCTACCTGAATAATCAATAACTATTTCAGAAAATTAAAGTTGTAAAAAATGCATGTTATAGTTACATTTATACTCGTACACTTAATATACTTCCCCAGGTTCTGCTTTTAGTTACAACACCTATAATGTGATTCTGGTTTTTTTTTTAAATAACCATTTCTTTTTGGTCTATGTGGGTCTCTTAACTAGCTGAGTACAGGGAGTCAGGGACAGACTCTGTGATATTGCCCCCTCTTCTTCAAAAGTACATGGTTGCCATTTTGACTTCCAAGAACTTTCTGTAGGGATTTTAAAAGGATAGTAAGTTGGACAGGTTTGTAGGAATATTAGAAATAGTTTTTCCAACCCAAGATCATTCTGATCTGAAACAAAATATTAAACATCCTGCGCTTGTGCAGACAGTAGGAGTTCAGGGCTGGAGCTTCAGTAGCTGGTGTAGTACTCCTAAAAGTTTTTCTGACTTAGTTAAAACTTCGAGAGTATAAATTCAATCCCAAATTTGTGGCAGTCCAGTGAGTAAAATTATGACTGTTTGCTTCAGGTTGACAGATTTTTTGTTTAATTTTTACTTCAGTTTTTCTGCAGTGAAAACAGAACCAATAAATAAAAATAGCTGCTTGATTAAACTTTCACTCTGTAAAAGTATTCCCTCACTTGGTGAGGTGGGTATGATACTAGGAACTCAACCATTTCTTTTTAAATTTTACACATGATTCCAAAGTATACTTCTTAAATTCCTGGAAATACATGAATGTGAGTCATACACATTTAAAAGGCATCCCCACTCCCTGTCTTCCTTCTTACACAAAGGTGGTGCAGGAGCAGCTACAGCAGCTGTGCAGTCACAGTGCCCCTTCTGAAGGATGTACTTACCATTTTTTTTGTTGTTGTTTTGTTTAAAGCAACTTTTACCCCCCTTCCCATACTCCTGATGTAAATATGTCAGTTGTCTGGGCAGACAAGGTTCAAGACCCGTAACTTCTGGTTTATAGGTTGTAAGTGATCTGTCTCCCCTGATCCAGGTATGGAAAAAGAGGTTAGGAGGAAGATCCAAGTCTCAGCAGCTGCTTTAGTCCTAGCTTTAATGCCTCCACTGAGTTGATCTCTTGAGGAATGGAAGTAGAAGGCTGTCAGTCACACTCACAACTAGGAATTGCTTTTGTTAGGACTGCAAGACTGTCTAGTCAGTCCCAGAGCTGACAGAAGGAAATACCTACTGTCTTGTCAGGAATTTGTATATTGTGATTCCACAAATATCTGTAAATGACTGAGCTGGTATCAAAATGTTTTAGACTTCCAAAATACCACAGTAGTCTACTTCTTGTCTCAGAATTTAAAAACTATAACCAGTCATTTTCTTTTGCTTGGCTGTAGGTGTTGCCAAGTATTCATAAACATCAAAGAACATTTCTACTAAAGATGAACTATTGCAGTTTGATTTTTTTTTCCTTTTACATTTACTAACTTCATCTTCCCATCCAGTGGATTTTTCTGGCTGTGTCAGACATTCTTTCACCTTTTGGAAGAACAACTTTTCCACACATGTAATGGTATTTGGGCAGGATGCATGAGTACTGGTCTGGATGAAAGTGATTTTCTCAAAGACTTGCTTCACTGAACTAATATTATCCTTGTGGAGCGAATGCCTGCCTGGCATTTTCAGAATTACCTATACTATATGGAAGAATGAAAATCATGATTTTTCAAGGAAGAAAGACACCTCTCTTCTCCTGTCTTTGTGCAGTTATGGAGACCGAAGTTGCTAAAAGGCCCATCCTATCAACTCCGCTTTAGAAGTCAACTGCATGCTATAATCACCATTTTGAAAGTTACAGATAACTAATTTCTGGTGGCCCTCTTACCATCATTCACACTTTGTCAGGAGGAATTTCAACTTAATTTTCAACCTTTTTTGGATGTATGGATACCAGAGCAATACTTTCTTATGCAGTTTGGTCCTTGCTATATTGAATTTATGCACTCTTTTAACAATCAGCTTCCTTTTTGTAGTTATGTATCTCACACTGCCCTCCAGGATTTATGATTTATCTGAAAAGTAATAGTCAAGTGCAGCCAACAGAGTACATGTGAAAAACAAGCCTATGTCCAGTTTGCTCTATCTCAAGGGTAACACTAGCAGCTAAGATATTAAAATATTGTCACAGAAGAAAGGTCTGTCATTATGGACACTTTTTGCCAAGACTTTTGGCAATGTCTTTCATTCAACACTCTTTTTTAAGGTAAAACCATTGTTCAAATCTTGTTTCTGTTTCCCTTCAGTATTAAACCAACATTTTGCCTTCAGCTCTGGAAGCTTTTGCTTTGATGCCATCCTGACACCCCTGGGATAATGATCATTCAATCCTGATGTCACATATTCTATCTCAATAGCAGATGAAAGAAGGACACAGAGTGAGCTGTCAAAGATGGGCAGACATACAAAAGCTTTTTTCTTCAAGAGAAGAGTAAAACTTTTTTTTCAGAATGGAAAAGGAACTTTTGGAGGCAAAAGCAGCATAACTAAACAGTGAAAGTGAATAATGAATGATTATTCATTATTTATTGAAAGTGGAAAACTAGAGGTATGCAATGAAACTAGTAAACAGCAGGTCTTAAACAAATCTGAGGATTATAACTAATAGCTGCCTTATTTTTGAAGACTTTCCAAAGAATCAAGTTCTGTCTACTTTGAGTTAAGCTACTGAGCTGGTGGACTTGCTTGTATGAATCAATTCCATAGTTCTTGCATCTTTATTCATACAAAAGGGCACCCTCCATCCAATTGTTACTGAGTCAGGGCAGTTTGACTTTATTGCCACTGCCATTGTTCAAAAGAAGTGCATGGCTTTTGGTTTTACACAGCAGTGAAGTTTTCATTGGCATACAGAGCTTACATGTCTCTTTAAGTGGTGATTTCATTGCTCAAAACGGACAAATCTGTGTTCTCACTTGTAGGAGTGAGTTGTTTTATTACACATACCAGTGAAGAATGGGGGGCTGGTATGAATCCATCCTGATGGCAGAGAAGAAAACAAAGTCTCCAGAGACACAAGTGTTCTTAGAATTATAGATTTTTCTCTCCCTGATCAACCAGGCTTATTTGGGTCAAAAGTCTAGAGCAAATACCCTTCAGTAAAGTTAGCTTAAAAAAAAAAAAAAAAAGACTTTTTTCCTCTGCCTGCTATAGACATTTTTAAAAATAAACCCATCTTAGGCCAAAGCTGACCAATATACCTTCCAGTTGCAATTATCGCAGATTGTTTCTAAGCAAAACTGACATAGCTACTGAAGATAATTCATTGCATGGTGGCAATTCAGTTCCCATCTCGGTCTCCTCCACAGTTTCACACATGCATGGATGCACTCTAGAAGATTAGTTCTGGGCAGTGAATTCTTGTATCTGTTCTGGAAACAATGGCCATGACCTCAACTCCTTATTGTGAGTCCTTCTCACCCCTACTCATCCCGTACTGTGAGGTATGAAGCAACCAGGCAGTGTGAAGCCTGCCAGCACTGCCTGCCCGAGCAGGAAGAGAGGAAATAACTGCTTTCTTGAATACTAACATTCTTACTGCCATTGTATTCTGTGGATTACTGTTCTCTGCATTCTTAGTTTTTCTCAAATGACTGCCTTAGGCCCAACTGATGATCCTCAATAGGTCAGTAGCGTGGATTTTTGGAGCAAGCAGCTGCCTGAAACTTGGTTTCTGGCTAAACCTATTCAGTTCTTTCCTTCTCCTCAGAGTTTCAAGACAAGACTTACAGTGAGGGTGACAGTAATCACATCTCTAAAAAAGAATTTCCATATCTTTTTGTCAGAATAGTTTTAACTACTGAACCCGTTCACATATTAATAGCGTTAAGGGTTTTGTATAATACTTGCTGAAGTGCCCTAGATTTTAAAAAGGTATGTAGTAAGAATTAATTCAACTAAAATAAAAATTATTTATGGGACTGATGCAACTGTTTGCACCAGTGCTGCAGATGCACGTTTTATGGATACCAAGAATGATTTCTAAAAGGTAGAAAATTCATACTAATGTTAATTTCTGAGAAAGGTAAGCTGAAGACCATGCCTGAGTAGACCTCGTATTCCTGACTGACTTATCCTACTCTACTAATCACCTCAGAGTTTGAATGGACAAATAGGTTCTAATTCTTGCAAAATAATTCTAAGTGTTGCCCCCACCAGAGCCAGTCAGTGTCCCTTTGAACTGTGTTCAGAATTTTGCTCAAGATTAGGAAACAGCACTTGGAAAAGATCCTACTTAGTGAGATTAATGGTAATCCATTGGTAATTATAAATATGAGACATCCTTTAAATGAGTTGAATCTTGCTAATAGATTTCACATTCTAGTGTAGTTAGCACCAAGTTATTAGTGCATTGGTACTGCTGATCTGTGTCACAGCAATGCCTGAACTAAGCAAGGAGATACTAAGTGATGCAGGGAGTCTGACAGTATCTGCAGTCCATGGAGTTGTAGTGAAAGCAGTAACTGTAGAGCTGTGCTTTGGTGTGCCTGATGAGACCTAATTGGTATGTGCCTGCTGAACAGACCTCTTTCTTCTAGGGTTTCAAAGAAAATAGTTTTTAAAAATATTTTTTTAATGAGTACAAGGAAGACTAAAGGTAGGATACGTATTCATAACTTTGGACATCTACAGGATAAGTATCCATAGCCAAGCTAGTCGGTCTCTGTGCCTTTCTCAACAGAAGGAAGGGGAAAGAAAAAGCAGTTACTAATGTAAACTTTATATGTCTACTTTAGGACGATTTGCATTGTACTTGGTCTCCCTTGACTGTATTGGCAATTTTTGCTGATTATACAAATTAACTGGGGTGCCTGTGTAAAATCTAGATGTCTGTGTTTTGACAGATGATTCCCATTCAATATGTAGAGTAAAGGCTTCATGTTTGTTTGTGAGCCTTGTATATGTGTATGAAATGTAAATAACTATAGTTAAGGCTAGAAAACCTAATTTCAAATTATCTTGAATGCAGCATTAGTGCAACAAAAAGGTTAGCTTTTGAGGATAATGGGAAGTACAGTGTTTAAAGCTACCTATTGGCATGGTTTTCCTTCTAGGTTGGCATTGCTGAAGAAGAGTGGTGAAGAAGATTGGAAGAGCAGGCTTGGCAAAAAGCAGGAGTATGCAAAAGTGCCTGTCGGTGATCGTAGTGCGCAGATGCAAGAAGTTGAGCAGCTGTTAAAGAAGGTAACTCTGTCCTTGTTTGGAAAAAACATCTTGCTTGGAATGCTTTTGCTTTTTGAAGATGCATCCAACTAGACAGGCATGCCTAATATTAGCTACTAGCTCCTGTCATTCCTCTTATTATCAGGCTTGTTTAAAACACAGTTCTCCCAACATGAGGGATCATTAAATGAGAACAGCTTCACTGTCTTGGGACATATAATATTGATTACAATGTCTTCACATCAGGAGATTATGAACTAGTAAATGGGTCTGTAAGGCTTCTGGAACATATACAGGTATAATGATTTCTTGTTCTTTCCCCTTACCCTTTGCCCACACCCCTCCTGCAATGAAATTGCCTTAAGACTTAGTTCAGGTGTTTTCTTATGTATGGGTGAGCTTGTAAAAATTTCACATTCCTAAGGCTGTGTCATCTCTGTGCAAACACTGGGGTTTTGACCAGTAATTTTGGATCCTAGAACCACTGAGGAAAGGCAGGTACCAGAGCATTCATGAGCCGTTTGGCTTTTGATTATCTTGCATGATCTTTGCTGGTTTTGGATAGCCAAAACTGTTAGGAGGGGATTTTATCTGTCTTATCAGTGTTAGTGAATAGAGAGAGAGATGGATAGAAGGTGTAGAGAGGAAAGCGAGGTCTACATTGTTAGCACACTGATTATGTTTATACATGAGTAAGTTATGTTGCCCAGCAGGATTGGATCTGTAAATCAGAATGATTACTGCTGAGGACGTGCTATCCATGCCACACTTGCTTCTTTTCATTCAGTGAAGTTTTGCTTCAGGCTAAATTTAGGCTGGTCTTGTGGCCTGACTACCTTTACCACCATTGGTGTTACATGGGAATCTGGGAGTGCACTTTAGGGCTTAGTTTCATCCAAAAGTCTCTGCAGTGTGAACCAAAGCACAGAAAGTGAGGATGACTGGGAGATTTGCTTCAAAATGGACAGACTGCTGCCTCAAAATACAGGGCCAACATGGACTTGTTTCCCTTCTGAGTCCAGTATTTTGAAAATGACAGTGTCAGATAAAATAGGCTGTTTCCAACACCTTTATTTTTGAAGGAGTATTTCCCAGAGGACAAGTGAAAATAAAATTTGTGTTAAAAATTTTACTAATGGGGACAGTAATCTTTGCATCCAATTATTTAGTTGTGAAAGTGCTGCTTCTATTAAATAGTATAGACAAACAGTAACAAAAAGTCTCCTGTTCTGTCACTATATTACAAGTAAGGTCACGGTCTGTCATTATTGAAGGTAAATCTGTATGACTCGTCAATTGTTGCCTTAACTGGACAGAGAATAAGAAAGCTGATTTTTGAAGTTTGGTTTATGGGGTTTGGCTTGGTTTTGCCCTGTGAACTTGTTCAAAAATCCAGTTGCTAGTTTGAAACAAATCTTAAAGTAAAAATAGTTTCAGCGAAGGAAGCAAAATATTGGTCACATTTTTAACAGGCTGGTCTCCAAAATGACAACTGTTGAGATCAGATAACAAATGTACTCCAACTAGAGACAATGGGGTTGAGAAAAAGCTTTTAACAGCTGCCAAGTTTTAGTCGGAGACAAATCCTTTGTTCTCTCTTCTCGCTCCTCAGCACCCATATCCTCCCTGCTGCGTTTCCATGTGCAGCAACTTCACTCAGCATAGCACAAGTTAGGCTTTTAAAGCAAGTAAGCGAGCATGAAGTGCTTGAAGGATACAAGCTTTGAAGTGACAATGCTAGCAGTGGGAGTTTCTGTGACACTGGGTCACCCACTCTGATAGCTCATATTAGCTCTTGGCTATTTAGATCCGAAATGAAAGTATTTGCATGTCTGCCAATGGTTGAAAACTTGGGTGTGTAAGATACACAACTCCCTGAACTGTACTGATATTTGTGATGCTGATTCATTATGTGATATATGAGAAATAATGTAAGCCTTTACTAAACTGATCACCCTGCTTACAAGACACCATGTCAGCTGCCCTTAAATCTAGAAATACTCATTTTGATAATTAGTCAATGTAATGCCTGTTATCCCTTGAGAATCGTGAAGCAGTGTGCCACTGAATTCTGTTTGTAGAACTTTGAGACTGTGGTGTACTTGAGAATCTTGGTGGTTTCTGTTGCTGGATTGCAAAAAAAAAAAAAAAAAAAACACAAAACCAACCAACCAACCAAAAAACCAGGCAGGAATTTTATTGATTACTGCATTTTGAGCTAGTTATACGATTTCCACACATGGCAGCTGTGCATCAACAGCAAGGGTGTGTAAACTTCTGTCATGCCCTGCTGGTGCAAAATAATGCCTGACATTTTTAATTGCTGTATGACGCTTCTGTTAATGTAGTCAGACACCTTTCTAGGTTTTCTTTTGTGTGTGTCTCTCTCTTAAAAGGTTATCTAACCTGCTCTGGAGATTTGAATACTGAATTATGGCTGTATAAATTATAAGTTATTAAACTACATTTAAGTTTCATATAAACAACAAAAGAGGAAAGATTCATGCTCTTTCTAAAATAGTTATATTAAATAGTGCTGTTTCATCACTTCTAGTCAAAAGGCTTCTTCAAGTTGTCTGCATGGTGAGATATTTCTCCAAGTGTGTTATAGTAATTTATATGTAGACTAAACAGTAAAAAAAAAAACAAAACAAACCCCACACCATAAAATTCATGGAAAAGCTGACAGAGCAATCTCAAATGGGGAAAAAAGAAGCAACAAAGGAATTAAATAAAGGCAATACAAATGAGGGGGGGAAGTGGGAATTTACTTGGAGGTCCAGCATCTGTTTTGATGATTGCTGCACACAGGAGGAAAGTTTTTTGGAAGCTATGAGACTTCTTAAGTTATTTATATATATGGTAAAACATACTTGGACAATTCAAAGTATAGCTCTAACATCAGGGGAACAACTGTACACTGATGAATGTCTTAATGGAAAAAAAATCCCTTTTATTTGGGAAAAATATTTTGGATTTAGTACATTTGTTTTCATCAGCTTGGATGGATGGAAGATTTCCAGTTTGTTGGGTTTTTTTCATGAGTAGAAAAATTTACTTACTTTAAAGTCTTCCCTTGGTATCAAAATAGCAAGATTTACAGGAATAAACATTTCTATTTTATAGTCAACCATATTTAAGAGAGTCCCTGATTAACGTGGTTACCAGCTGCATTGCAATTACATTAAAGTGACTAATATTTGAAACACTTAATTCTTACATCAAGTTTAAATTGCAGCTCAGCACTTGTGTTAAAGGGTTGAGCAGTCATTTCAAAATTATTCAGAGGTGAAGCATGTAAAAATCTTAAAGGGGGTGAACCCTTAAAAAGTGACTTCTAGGCAAAATATTAGTCTCTTGCTGTGGTATTAGTTTTAGCCGTTTCAAATATGGCATCCACGAAGTGCTTGTATCCCATTCTCATCAAAGCTGAAACTAATGATTAGGCTTCATTTTAGCCACTCTAATGAGCTGTTTTTATCAATATTCTTTGCCATGTTCCACATTTGCTTTAACCTATAGAATGGAAGAAGAATTATAGATGATAAAGCCATGTCTAATCAGCTTTGGGTAAGCCCAGCTCTGGGGCAGGGGTTATTTGTAGGCTTTGTTTAGGATGGTGAACTCACCTTCACTGAATAGTACTGTGGGCTTAGCAATTCCCTCCAGATGGCTTTTGGATCTCCCAGTTTTAGTAAGCATTCTTTCCTTTCATCCAGAAAATAGATGGCTTTTTATTTAACAAGGTCTGATTAAACTTGCAACAGAATTGTTCACATTGTGGTTGACATGGTTCATCCATTTAATGGTGCATGAAAACAGAAACATATAAAAATTATCAGCATATGAAAAATGTATCTTCCAGCTGTACTGTTTTGTTCTGTGTTGAGTTGTAGTGATCTTGTTACTAACTTGGATAATTCCTGCATGGAATGGTTTTGGTAAATATGCTGTTGTATTATGACAACATTTTTTATCTCTGGTTTTCCAATAGGGAAAACATTTCTAGAAGATTAAAAGATTAAGTATGAAATTAGGGAAAGAGGAGTTATTTCTTCCCCATCTCCATTTCTGGTAGTTCAGTTCTTTTCTAATTCCTTTGCTTTGCTTCTGTCCTTGTCATAGGAACCTGTATATGCTTCTACTTACTCTCCTGTTATACCCGCTCTCCAAAAATTTCATCCTTTTCTACCTATTAATCAGGTGAGCAGAAGTCTGCACAATTTAAATGCTCAACAATTTCAAGTAAGCACATTTGCACAGTGTTTTCTTACATAGGAAATTAAAAATCCTCTTAACTGATTAACCAGCTTAGCAAATGCAGCTTTAAAGAAACATAGTGTTATGCCACTATGCTGTGTACTCATCTTCAATATACATTCTCCTGTTTCTCTAATGGTTGCTTTTCTAAAAATTCTATGTCTATGTTAGATGAATATTTGAGAAAGTAAAAGAAGGAAACATTATTATGTTTGTTATGATACTGAAAACTTGCAAGTTGTTATAAAGGGTATATAAAAGGAGTAGTATGTAACAGCACAGCATTTATTTTAGAATAAAATGCTGTGTACCCTGACTTCTCTGTAAGTAATGCGCATATACAATGTAAGAAATAACATCGTATAATTTATTGACTGATAAAAAACAAGCTACTTTTGTTCAGAGGTGACTTTCCTATAGTGTTTTTCCCTAGTCCCTGCATAAAGGATTTTGCCTTGGCATATTCTGCTTCTATTCTCTGACTGTCCCATCTTCCTGCCTCTCTCTCTTTCTTCCTTTAAGGTCTGTAGTACTAGTTTGAAAGAATCAAGCTCTCTGATTTCTGATGAACGTCATCCTTGGAGATGGAAGGTGAAATGCTCTATAAACTTCCTATTTAATTATTGGAGGGAGGAGTAAGACAGGAAAATTACATTCAGGTCGAAGATGCACATTCCTAAAGCAACTTGTGGCAGTAGAGTTAACTTTGTGTTTGCTTGGGAGTAGAGTTCTGCTGCTGTTTCATTAAATGTTAGAGAAGCTTCATGCAATGTCTTCCTCAAAATCATGTCCATACCTCTGCAATTCCATCATAGACAATTTAAAGAACTTACTTATGAAGAATTAATAGATAATGAGAAATACAAACTTTCTACAGCTAGACCTACATAACAAATTTGTCTTTGAGCAGAAGTAGAATAATAGATATCAGTCTGAGCAAGTAGTACCTGATTCACATCATCAGAGGTAAAAAATGCAAAGGCAGGAGTGGGCAAAGAAACAAGCTGGAGAAAAACTCTAGAAAACAAGGAGAGTTCAGTGGAAGTTCCTAGTAGATCTGTGCAAATCTAATTCTGCTATATTGCACCTCCTTGTCCCTTGCCTCCCAGCTCACATCTGTGGTTGTAGTACTACTAGGAATACATTGGGTTCTTCATTCCCACACGATACACAGTCTGTGTCACATGTGGGGTGCATTCTGACCAGTAGGTGTATAACGGCAGTGAATTCAAGGAGCAGATACTCACTGCTGGAATAAGAGGATGGTGAGTACGGAAGGGCCTATTGGATATACTATAGACATTTAGAAGACTGATATTTACCATTTCCATATTCACTTGCACAGCTATTTTTGAGTATGATCTTTTACTATAATTTTTTAATTAAATATTAAATTTGGGATGAGTAACGGAAATGTGCTAGTATTACCTCTTCTCCATAAGCTCCAGATTTAACATAGCTTATTACTGTTTACTTCAGATCACTTGGTAATTTTGTTGTGACAGAGTTCACCAGCTTTATGTATCTAGAAGATAAACATACAGTCTAACTTAGTAATATCCCTCCAGTAATGAGGGGAGATCCTTCAATGGGCTGTTCATTCTATCTGTCTTAAAAGGAAAACAGCCAAAAAGTTTTTATCTTTCCATTGATTGTGGTGAGATACATCCTGCCCCTTTAGCAAGCTGCTTCCTTCTAGCACAGTGTGAAGGTACACACAGATTTGTTTGCTTGTTTGTTTTTTTTCTGGCACAATTAATCATTTTGTTATTTTCACCAAATGTGATTTGAGTGTGTTCTGTTTTGAACACACTTTTGAACAGAAAGGCATGTGTTTGCATTGTAGTTTTCTCTCCATGTTTCTCTTATAGCAAGACCCATATAAAGTTGCGGAGGAAAACAATGCAGAGACTTTAATGTACTCGTACAACTGTTGGATTCTTCAGGGGTTTTTTGGGTTTTTTTTGTCTTAGGAGTTTAAACTGGAGAAGTTACTTGTATTAAAAAGGAAATAGATGCTTTTTGGATTCTTCTTTTATATAATTTATAAAATTGGTTTAAAATGGAACCCTCTTTTGAAAAATACAGGGTTTTTTATTAATTCTTGGTTTTTGGCTCCCCTGGTAGGAGCAGTCTTCATCTTCTACATAGAAAACCATGAATTATCTTATTTCCTCTATTAAAAACCAAAACCAAACCCCTGAACAACACACCAGCATGCTAACAAACCACTTGCTCAGTTGTGTTTTTGTGACCTAAAAGGAACATGCTTGGAGTGGAAGGTTGTAGGGTACAAAATGGAGCATTGCCCAGATGTGACCCCTTGCTTAGAATGAACTGACAGTGCAGAAGCAGTGCAGTGCCTGTGTATGCCCTCAAGAAATGTGCTGCAGTGCTAGAAAAGACCACTATCATCCAACCTAGCCAAGCAGTGGGAGAAAAGTAATCCCTTTTTCTAACTGTTCTTACATCAAGTCTATAAATCCTCCTCAGACTTAAAACAGGAACTTTTAGAGAAATATGCAGTCTTTATTCCTAACTGTAAGCATACAGAAAACTCCCTGCAATATTAAGTGACTTTTCATATGTAATTATTCTTGCTGTGTAAAATGTAACTCTTAACACCCTCCTCAGTGAAAATATATACTCATCTGAGGTAATTTTTTTTTTTTTTTAAATCTTGAAAACATATTTCAACCCTTTCCTGAAACCCTTAAAATTGTCACCATCCTGGGTAGAATTATGGGGGCTGGAAATGGATGAGCTATTGCAGTACAGATTATCTATGCAAAACAACTGTTCCATGGGACTTTTTCCTCTCTCTTTTTCTGTCTTCATAATTGTCTGGAGTTTGCTTGTTTCCTTTTCCAAATAACATTCATCTTAAAATCCTGATTTAGCAGATTTTTCAGATACCCCTTTTTTTACCCATCCATATGATTATCTCTTCTTTATCTTCATCACTTTCTGTATGTTGGTGTCATCATGAGGGTCTTCTCAGCAGAACTGCATCTTTTTTTTCCCATGTTCATGATAGCATTTTAATCAAAGTTGGGATGAATCAGATCACTGCATGGGTCCTTTCTGTTTAGAAGTAATTTTTCAGTCAGTTATCTAGTTTGCAGCCTGTAAGCTGCTCTGATATTTTTATATTGCTCAAAAAAACCCACCTCAGAATGTCATCTGTGATTAAGTCAAATATATTAAAGAAATCAGAGGTAACTGTGTTAATATATTTAATCACACTTGAGCTCATCAAACTTACCATTTTGATTAAACCTGTTTTCCATAATGCCATGTGGAGTGGCATTAATTATGTGCCTGTGATTTGATTCTTCATTGATTGTCTTTGCAGCAGTCTTTCTCTGGGTCTCTGGAACAACACACAGCTCGTGTGACCTGTACCTACCTTTAGTTTCTTTATTCTTCTAAATATTTTCTCCATCTGAGCTTTTATCACTCCTGTACATTTTCCAATTTTCAAAGGCTTTTTTAAAAATTCACTGCTTATGTTTGTATTCCAGTTATTTCAGCTAAGACATCAATGAACACATGTATGCATTTGACATGATGAATTAGAATAGTTCATTGAAAGTAACTACCTTTTTAATGAAAACAGAAAACTAAACTACATTGGAGCTGTTTTATTCCTAAGCTTTTATTTATTTTTTTTTTTTATTCTTTGCATACTAATTCTTGTTTTTACTTTTTTACATTTGAAAATTTGAGATTCTCCTTTCATGTCTTTGGTTTTTTTTCACTTGAAAATAAAACCTGTACTTAAAAGTTTCTTGACTTTTAACTTTCTTGACATACTTTCTCCCAACTGGAATGTCCTTTGACCAATTCATTCCTTCACAAATTCTGCAACTGGCAACTGTGGAAGCTTTCAAAACTGTTCCCAACTACCAGTTGTATTTTTTTCTGAAATTTTTTTTGATAGTTGCATTGGCTCATGTTAGCTTTCCAGCTATAGAAAATAATTTTTTATTTAATCATGACATATACTTCTGTTTTTCACCAGGATTATTACAGAAAATTAAATGGGTTGGGGATTGCTTGGTGTCTGTTCGGTTTATAATTTTTTAGTTCATTTATCTATTTGTAGATTAAAGTGGGAGTCTTCATGCATTAGGAAGAGATTTAATATGGAATTGCTCTGAACTGTGTAACATACACACCCAGTCTGATATTTTATTTTTTTAAGAACTCCAAAGATGTTTTACCCAATGGAACAGCTTGAAATCTTCCATTAAAAAAAAAAAAAAAAAGTTTGTTTTTGCTGTCAGACAGCTGCTCTCTTTTGTCCTTTGACACAGCTCCAGAATTACTCAGAGCCTTTCTTGCAATTCAAGTGTGTAGGGATTAACATACACACTTTTCAGGTCTGCTTCTCCAGAATTTTCAGTAGCTCTGTAGACTCTGAGGATTCAGGTACTCACTGAAGACAAAATCCAAAATTAAGCCCCCTGTAAGTTTAAAAGAGACCAAACCAAACAAAAAACAAACCCAAACAAAATCCATATGATTCTACTTCTTTCTCCCTCTCCCTCACTTCCCTTCATATTGTAATAGAAGTCAGCACCCTTACTAAGTTAAAAGTATGAGTTTTGTGTATGAAATTTCCCTTGTGGCTTGATTAGGTATTTATTAATTTTCTGCCCAGGTCTCCTTTAGTATGTTGCTATGTTTTTTTCTACCAACTGTTCATCCCAGAACAGTGGCTGTGCTGACACTGGAATGGGTATAAACTTAGGGAAATGAACAGAGATACTTCATTTTTTTTCTTTAAAGCATTCTGAGGCTTTGACAGATGAGGAAATGATGCTGAAGAGACTTGCATGTTATTATTTCTATTGAACATTTTGGAGTTCTAGGGAAAAATCAGAGTTTTTCATCTTGATTATTGTGGCTTGCAGTCATATTGTCTGGCTGCCCCGTGCTCTTTCCTGATAAATTGCAAGGAAGTTTCACTGCAGAAGGCTGCAGAGCTATATGGAACTAGAAGGAAGGAGTGGAGGCTGTCATGGTCCTAGTCCTTGTACAAGCCATTTCCTGGCTTGTCTTCACTCTCCTGGCTGATGGCTACTGATCCTGGTAATTGCTGAAACGCTATGAAATCTCTATTTTAGTGTGTCCCCTGCAGTCACAATAGTTTTTATATAAAGTGACTTGTTTTTTTAGTCTGTTTGATTTTTAAGAAAATAAAACATAAGTGGGTTTATATCTCTTTCTTGTATCTTGAAAGAAGAAGAATGTTTATGTTCACAAGCTTTTGCATACTTGTGCCTTTTCCCTCTGTGGTTCCATGAGTTAGAGCTGTGTTAAAGCTTGAGATTTTAATTTGTTTTTCCAATTCTAGCTGCGAGATTGTGAAGAAAAATGACGAATTACATGCAACTTGAAAGTAATTCTAGAGTTGATAGTCCCTCGCACTAAAAATACTTTTACATCTGATTTCTATGCAGTATAATCCCTGAAATGTTGCTACTTTTTAAAGATAAATGCATTAAAATAATATTTATTTGGCCTGACCTAGCTACAGCAGAGTGTGTAAATTCAGTTTCTTTCCTATTTAATGTACCATCATCAGTCCTTTGTGTTAGGAGGGCACTATGATAAAATTCACCTGCTGCTTCTGATCACTTAAGCTGTTGGCTGATAACCTCTAAAGCAAGCAAGGAAAGCTGAGGGTCACCTAAAAAAAAAAAAAAGGAGAGGGGGTGGTGGAGATGATCACAATCATTGGAAAAATATTTAGTAGAGCAAGCTGACATAGGAACTAAAGTGAGCAGCCTCTGGAGAGATAAGGCTGCTAATCCTGCCTGGAGAATTGAGTTACTGTAAGAGACTGATTCAGGAATCACACACTGAAGTTACACCACTTCATTGCTATTCCCCATGCCACCTGCAGATCCACTGAATTACACCATTTCATTGCTATTCCCTGTGCCTTCTGCAGATTTGCACACTTGAAAACATCTGCTCAGCGTCAGTTTAGTGATCTCACTTGTGTAGCAAGTCATCCTTCAAAAGAACGAGGTCTGAAAAATTCTATCATTTGCAGAGTGAATGGTTTGTTTTCCTTAGAGGGGGACCGTTTGCCCTGGGTGGTAGTGTCAAGAAAATGTCAAAGAGCACAGACCAAAACACTCATAGTCACATTGTAATGGAGCAGCAAGACAGTGAAGCATCTGAGGGTCACTAAGCTGTGTCTGTGACTTCACTTCAGTAGTTTATTCTCCTGCTCCCTTCCCTCTGCATCTGGCAGTTGAAATGTTCAGCCACTCTTTAGCTGTGTCCTGGTCATTTATCTTTTTTTTAAACACCTGTTTCTCTCTTTCCCCCAAAAAGCAAAGAATGGCAGATAACCAGGAGAGTCAAATGACCATTGAGGAAAGGAAACACCTGATTACAGCTCGAGAAGAAGCCTGGAAGTCCAAGGGTAAAGGAGCAGCCAATGACTCCACACAGTTCACTGTAGCTGGCCGAATGGTAAAAAAAGGTCAGTGATGAAATGATCCCAGTATAAATAAGACACCTCTTATCTGTCTAGTCAAAATAAAGTCAAGCTAAAGCTATGCAGAAACAGTATCTGTGCTTAGCAAGAGGAGGACTTTGTTTCAGCTGAATATCATGTCATGAGGCTGTTCACTTTAGTTTCTTGTGGCTGTCATATGGATCCATTTTGGTTGACCCTGTTGCACTGCCATCCAGTTATTAAGGGACTCTGACTGGTGGAAGTTATCATTTGGACAGGGATATATGTTTTGTTTCTCCTTCTAATACAACCCAGAGGGCACAGTTGGATTATTCTTTCTTATTTATTCTTCCTTTGAAAACCCAGCTGCGTTGTCTGGAGAATAATTGTGAAATCTAGTTGTTGCTATTGCTGGCACTTCCCTCCACTCTTAGGAACACTGGGAATATTTAACAAACAAGTGTTATTTTTATGGATGCTGTCTTGTACAACAACATGAAGTACTATGTTTGGCTGAAGAAATCACTGAACAGATTCTCTGGTTCTGCATAGAATCAGGAAGTAGAAATGGCAAGGGAGCAGTGTTGACTTTTTTTTGAATTCAGTCACTTTTCTGAGACCTAATCATTCTTCTGAAGTGGACAGGAGTCTCTGAAGGCTGCACATGGTAGAAATGTAGCTGTTCTCACAGTGCTCTTGGGAAGATGATAGGTTTGGGAAGAAGGCATTTAAACTGACCTCCTTTTGCTTAATGAATACTAGCTTTTGTTTTGTTACAAGAACTTGGTTATCAAACACAACAACAACAAACCTTGAGTTAAATGACAACCATAAAAAAAAAAAATCCTCTTAGATCGAGGGCAATATTGCAACAGGAGTAACTGTTTGCAATCCAAGCCACGTTCTGTTGGCAGATAAACAGATACAGAGTATTAGGAATTACATCTATTAGTAAAATATTTTAGCTGCTGCTTACATTGTTTTGCTGCTAGAAACGCCAGTGGTCAGTGTGTAAAGAGTAACCTACTTTGGAGGGTCACCAAGAAAAACTGTTCAGTTGTCCACAGACTCGCTTTTTCAGATTTTTTTCTTTTTTTTTTTTTCCTCAAATATATTGGTCTTTTGATAGGAATAGAAGGTGATAGCATTGTTCTTTTTAATGGGAAAAAATTTACTTTGAAAGGGTCTCTTTAGGTGCTATGATCGTTCCTTTGAAGAAGCGAGGTAACACAATGACAGTGGCATTAAAAAAAGTACCTCAAGTGGGATTTTAGTTAGAAGTGTGTTGTTTTTAGAGCCTGAAAGAATAAATTATCGTGATCAGCTTTTAATTTAAGAGATTATGATAAAGAAATGCAAAATTACCTCTTTGTTATATGCATGTGCACAGATGCTGTATTTTAATTGCTTCTTATGGCTGAAAATTTTTCAGTCTTAATTGGAAGGTCATCCTTTACTAAGCAGTTCTCCATGTGGTGTTGTGGATTAAGTCCTGGTAGAGCTGCTTAAGAGCTGTGTCCTCTCAAGTATGTCTTGATGAAGGCTTTACCCACTGACTTAAAACCTGTTGGAACTTTTAATATCTTAGGTAGAAGGGAGAAAAATTGCTTGTGGAAAAGCTACCCAGTTATATTCTAAATCAATCGTGGTGTTGAAAATTAGGACTTGCTAGGACTTACAGTAAAGATAGTGGAAACATAGTTAGTCCATATTCTCCCAGCACAACATTGGTTTAATCTGATAAAATAACTAAAGGCTTAAACTTACATGGCTCAGTAATTAGTAAGCTATCGCTAAGTGGAAAACAGATATTAGGGAAAGGTGTAAATGTCTGTTCCCCCATTTACTGAAAGTCTAGGCAACAAGAGTAAATAAATGCAATTTTTTGCTTCACTATGCATTTCTACCTCATAAAACCCATGAATCCTATGGGTTGCCATGACTCCTATAGAGTGCCATTTCTGTTACTAGAGCGATGTAGATTCACATGGAAAGAACTAAACAAAAATCATCTTATTTTATACACTGGGTCCAGAATGAATTGCTTTATGATCTGGGTCTAGAATGAATGGCTTTATGATAGTTACTGAAAAGGGTGGAGGAGAGTGCAACAAAAGGAGGGAGCAGTGCTTGATATGGTGGGAACTCTGACTTCCGTTTCCGCTTCCATATCCATGTGTTCTTAAAAGTGCATCCTGCCACATGTATTAATAGGGATGCATTTAAATTTAGAAAAGGTGGTGAGGGCATGGTGGAGGTGAAGGTGCCAAACAAGATCTTGGTAGTTTCCTTGCTAACCATATCTTTTTTGCAGAACACTTGCATGTTTTTAAAATGTGGCTTGTGATAGAGCAGAAATCCAAAATGTAGACCAAGTGAACTGCTACTATCTTGAAAAGGTGTAAAATTACTGTATTCAAGAGAGAGTCTGTATTTTGTGTTAGCTTGCTTACAGACACTTGGAATTGAAGCTTTGTTCTTGTGAATGGGGTTGGTTAAAGGAGTAGGCAGGGCAGTGCATTCTGTCATCTCTACTACAATGATTTAGGGAGGCTGGGGAAATATTCCAGGCTGTAGGAAGTATCCAGGCTCATCTGCTTTCCCTAAATAGCTTCCGTGTCATCATTGCTGGGAACACTGGCTGAAGTCGCAACTGCATTTCTTATGTTCTCTGTTCCTACGCAGGCCTGGCTGCTCCCAGTGCTCTAACACCGGTAGCATCCCCTTACAGTAACCGGCAGAAGTCTACAAAGCCCTTGGAAGGTAAGGAATAAAAATGGCTGAGGTAAGTCCAGGCTTTTTTACTTCCTGTCAATTCACAAGTTTTATTTTCTGGTTTGCTTAGAAATTGAAGCCAGGCCTGATATGCAATTGGAATCAGATATGAAGCTTGACAAGTTGGAGTCGTTCTTGGGAAGGCTGAATAACAAAGGTTGGTAGAGTTACCAAAGGCAGCAGGGTATCCACTCTCTGACTTCAGTAAATGGATTAAAGTACCTCTTAGTTAAAATGTCTGGTAACAGAAACTGAATATTTCTTTTTTCAGACTGCACTTACTGATCACTTGCTTTTTTTTTTGTGATTCAGTCGTTACTAAATTTTAAAAAGAAAAGCCTTTCTCTATTATATTACAAATGTACAATAGAGTAAGTCACAAAGGCCAAAATAACCTTCTTATTTCTCTACACATGATGTACAGATCCTTCTTGAGAAAGAAATTTCTTACAGCCACACAGCCAGTCTGAAACAGGTTACCATATAGTGAAACAGCTTTAAATGCAGTTTAGTGTTATTAAAATCAAGATAGGACACTAAGCTGCTCCAAGCACAATTCATTCACCTTCCTGCTTTTTTCAAAACTTACTCTCTATAGCAGTTCTTCAACTTCCTTGTACAGCTTGTTTGCTATTTATGAAGCTGTCTAGATTTCTTCAGTGTTTCTACTTCATAGGTCTGTCCTCCATTTGTAAGACAAAACACCTTTTGTAATTTGTAATGTGTCAGATACCATAAACAAATGCATTCACATTTCAGCAGAGGAGGCACTAGTGTAGAATAATGACTGCCGTACTCACTAGTCTGAAGTAGTGACTTTTCCACTTGTTGTTCTAGTAGGTCTTTTCAAAGGAAGGAATGATGTTTGGAGGCAAGATGGAATATACAAGATGTTAAAATGACTATATCATCCTACCAAAACAACTCATTTTTTATAGTGCCCAAGTTTTTCATTTAGCCATATTTCCCAAGCATTTTGTATAATGATTATTGCACTGTTTTAACATTCTTTACCAACACTTTTCTACCATGAGTTAAAAAAAAAAAAAAAAAAAAAAAAACAAAAAATACTCAAGAAAAACCAAAACACCACTACTACCCCAAAAAAAATCCCCACTCCAACAACTACCAAACAAGGTGTGTTTACCTTTTCTAGAGTTAAAAACTCTAGTATGATTATTTACAGGATAAGGTCTTTCTTTCCTGCAGTTGGTGGGATGCAAGAGACAGTGCTGACAGTTACAGGAAGATCTGTGAAAGAGGTGATGAAGCTGGATGATGATGAAACATTTTCCAAATTTTATCGCCATGTGGATTTCCCTTCTTCGTCAGTGCCTTTGGACCTTGATGAGGACTTTGATGCCATCTTTGATCCTTATGCACCAAAGTAAGAACTACTTTTTTCCCCCCATTGTTTTGAATGCAGACATAGGGCCAGCGCTCAGTGTTCAGCTCTAAGTCATCATGTAGGTAGGTATCTTAGTACTGGGCATGGCCATTTCTTCTGCATATTTCTGCAATCATGCTCCTGCCTGAATTGAGGAACTGATCCTCATTTCTTGTCATTAGGTGATTCTCCCTAGAAAAGTTACCTGATGGTCATAAACACTGCTTGTTTTTCAGGTTGATATCTTCTGTGGCAGAGCACAAACGTGCAGTTAGGCCTACCCGCAGAGTCCAGTCCTCAAGAAATCCACTGAAAATGCTGGCAGCAAGACAAGATATTCTTCATGAATATACTGAACAAAGACTGAATGTTGCCTTCATGGAATCAAAGAGAATGAAAGTAGAAAAAAGTAAGCTAGAAGGATGATTTGTACAAGACACCATCTTGCTGTTTTAATTAAAAGTGAAACAAAATATCCCAATGCAAAAAAACAGAAATGAAGGATTGGAACTTATTATCTGAGTGGGAATAAACTGATTGAGGTTATAAGGTTGCATGTAGACTGTCTAGGAGGTCTGGAGAGAAGGGTGTATCTGACTTCCTCAGGGAAAGCTACCTACAGCCCCATCCTGTGTGTAGGTTTAAATAATAATGGCCAGTCTTCGCAAGCGAAGATCCGGGGAAGGTCTTTCCACCTTCCAGCCTGCGCATTGGATTTTTTAGGTGAGACACAGTGTGCGCGGAACTGAGCCCACCCTTTAATCCTAAGGTTCATCTGCCGGGGCCAAGCGAGCTTGGACGGTGGCAGCGAGGTCCTCAGGACGTAGGTGGGTTGCCTTTAAGGGCTAACGAGCCCCACCTGCCCGGGAGTGGCCCTGACCGGGAATCGAACCCGGGTCTCCGCGGTGATAGCGCGGCGCCTTTACCACTAGACCACCAGGGGCTCCTGTGTAGGTTTAATTATTTGTTTTTAGCACAGTCACCTTGTGTAGAGAGAGAGAGTGAGTGCCACAGTGCCTGCAGGGTGAGGACAGGAGATCAGGACAAGGAAAGCAGATTCAACATTACGTTATGCTGGGGCAAGAGCTGGCAAGAATAGATGAACTTTTGTTCAGGTACACTGGCCTCAATTTTGGGTCCTAATTTTCTCTCAGAAACTAGAATTAGCCTTATTGACTCCTAAAGATTAATTTCCATAGAGGATCAGTGCTTTGTGGCAGGGCTTTGTGTTTTACTTGTGACATTGCTTTCTCCTGACAACCAGGCAGACAGCAAAAGACATTTTTGTAAAATTTATTCAAAGGCTTGTCAAGCCACTCTTACCATTTGGGGTACAAGTTTTCCTTATTACATTTGAATAAAGAAAGATCATCTCTAAACATTGACTGTATTGATGAAAACACTAATTATATGTGTAATACTTTTTTGCCATTTCATGAGAAACATTTCCCTGAGTTATAAATTCATTAAGTGCTTTGTCTTTGGTTGAGCAACAAGCAGAAGTAGCCAAGAATTTGGGCCTTAAGTTTACAGTAAAACATGACTAAGACTTTGAAATTCAAATGGCTATTGCATCACACTGTCTGAGCCAAATTTTAAGGGAATATAATTTAATTAGCCTTGAATCTCTACTGTCTTTTATTATTAATGACTTATAAGGCACTGAAGATCTACACAGTACTTCACAAAACATTGGGTAAGACATGTTTTCTAGCAGAGTTGGTATTTCTGCCAAATAACATAATTCTGATGCCAACAGTTTACTCTTGGATGATATCTAGAAACTTAGGTAATCCTAAACCCACACATCTTTTGGGATAGTGGTTAATCTGAGTTCAACCTGGTTTTGCTGTTGCTATTGATAAGAAGAAAAGCTGGAAATAATGGGCAGAAATTATTTTCTTAATGCAACACCCAATTTTTTAATATAATTTTGACCTTTTTGTGTTTGTGTGTGTATCTTTTCTCCAACTTCTTTTTACGTACAAGTGTCTACAAACTCAAATTTCTCAGAAGTAGCACTTGCTGGCCTGGCAAGCAAAGAGAACTTCAGCAACATTAGCCTGCGGAGTGTTAATCTAACAGAGCAAAACTCCAACAACAGTGCTGTGCCATACAAGAAGCTAATGCTCCTGCAAATTAAAGGTATGCTGGAACTGCTTTTACTTTCCATAATTAATAGGCTGAATGTAACGTGGGAGTTGCTACCACAGTTGGATGCTTACCTTGCTCTAGATCTTCAGCTCAAGATTTATGTCCAAAACTTAAAAAATAAGTGACAACTGCATGACAAAGGTTAAATTTTACAAATAAGTTTGCATTATGCCACTGGTGTGTGTTTTCCAAGGAGAAAAGAGAGTATTTCAGAAACTCTAGCCATCTCCTATGGAAATTTTTTAATTATCTCATTCTTCCACTGGTCAGTATAACTTGGAAGTAATATGATCTTGTTCTTGCTCCACTTCCCCTTACAGTGCATAGTAATGTATCTGATTCTGCAAAAATAATAGCTACTATTTTGGCAAAGTAAAATTCCTCATACTTTTTACTGCCTACAGAGACTCTGTCAGAGCTTCACTTAAGCAAATGTAAAGGGTTCTGGAATTTTGCTGCTGTCTGTCATTTGCTTAATTGATTTCCTTCCAGAAGGACACAAAGTTGTTAACCCTAAGAGCAGAAAATAATAGAAATATTAGTTGATAGGAGACAACAGTTATTTTGTTTTCTGTGAGTAAACTCTTTTTCCACAGTAGTATTCTTTTAATTCTTCTTTAAGAGTGTCTCCATATATTTTGCTAAATGTGCTGGGGTTGTTTGTATGTCATTGAAAACAATTTAGATCTTGGCACTTGATAGTAGTAGTTGAAGGAATATAATTATCTTTATTTTCTCGTTAGGAAGAAGACATGTTCAAACAAGATTAGTTGAACCTAGAGCCTCGTCACTGAACAGCGGAGACTGTTTCCTCTTGTTAACTCCACATTTATGTTTCTTATGGGTAGGAGAGTTTGCAAATGTCATAGAAAAAGCAAAGGTCAGTACTATTTGGAGGGTTTATTATTTATTTTTAGAACTGTTGCAATATAAGTCTCTTTGATGAAATTGATCCTTGGTGGCAGTTCTCTCAAAAAGTGGCATGTAACTGATAGTCCATGACAGGTAGATATGCAGGATTCCTGAAAATATGTTTTAGCTCATGCACTGAATGAAAGCTGACATAAGAGCATGTAGGTTGTGAAGCTGCAAGAGAAAAGAGGATATCCTCAGGATACAGATTTGGACTCAAACAAAAATAGTCTGAATTGCAGGATGTCCTTTTTATTCCCATGTTCATTGAGATCAGGCCTTGTTTTAAGGTAAATGAAAGCATGAATGCCTATCTGTAACTTTTTTCCAGTGTCTGTTTATTTAGTACAACAAATAATAACCATTTCTTCTGTTATTTGCTCTATTATATCCCATTTGCCTTCTCCCTGAACAAAAGTATTGCACAAGAATTCCAAAGATTTAAGCAATCCTATTCAGATAATTGTTAATCTCTTAGGCTTCAGAACTTGCAACTTTAATTCAGACAAAGAGGGAACTTGGCTGTAGAGCTTCTTATATACAGACTATAGAAGAAGGAATAAATACCCATACCCATGCAGCCAAAGACTTCTGGAAACTCCTTGGTGGACAGACAAATTACCAGTGTAAGCATTCTTATAGTTACAATATCTGATGTTCTATCACAGTAAAATAGTCGAGTCAGTTCTCTTTAGTAAAAGACGTTAATTCCTTTATTATTTTTTACAATCTTTTCCTTCAGCTGCTGGATGTCCTGAAGAAGATGAAATGTATGAAGCTGCAATAATAGAAACTAATTGCATTTACCGGCTTGTAGAAGATAAGCTTATTCCTGAGGATGACTACTGGGGAAAGGTGCCAAAATGCACCCTGCTACAACAAAAAGAGGTATCGTGCCACTTACTGCTCCTGTGGTAACTGCAGGAACATGCAGCTGATAATGACTCTCGGTAACTGCAAATGCTCATGGGGAGTATCACTGAAAATTGAGTCCTCCATACTTCTGAAAGGCTTCTGAACACTTTGCTGTCTAGAGTGTGCTACAGGTCTCAAGAAATTTGATCATGCTATCTTTAAAGTGAAATACCATTTTAGGAGGTGTAAACATTTTTGTCAATAGTGGCTCACTCCAGCCTCAGGAAGTGCAAAACAGGTAGCAAAAACCAAACAAAGTTAACCCCCGTTTTTATTTCTATCCTTGGCAGACTTTTCCCTTTCAAACAACCATTTCACCCATCTAAGTCAGAATGAGAGCAGATTTCTAAACTAAAGACACAATGGGTTTTCTTGAAAGCATTAAGTCTCTGCCTGTTTGCTGATTCAGTTACCCATGCAGTGTTCTATCAGCCTTTCCTGGCCGCATGACAAGGCATAGGCCAAAATATCAGGGAAAGCTGCTGTAACTGGCCAGCAATCAGTCATGTAATGGAATCAGGTTTTTAGAAATAAGAGCTCTCTAATCTAATAGTGACTTAGCTGCCACCTAAAGATACACCTCACAGCATTCCCTGAATTTGCTTCCAGTCATGCTCAACAATTAGATATCCCAGTACAGACCACTGTTCTGTCCATACTTGTATTGCAGTGCTGCTTGTTAGTGTCATGGCAGAAACTCCCATACTTGGAGGAGTTTCTGTTCAGCACAAGGAAACTGGAGGATCAGGGTATCACCTAACCTAATAGTAGGTTGTTAGTGTTTTGTGTTTGGTTTGGTTTTTAGGTGCTGGTGTTTGATTTTGGCAGTGAAGTATATGTATGGCATGGAAAGGAAGTTACTTTAGCACAGAGAAAAGTGGCATTCCAGCTGGCAAAACACTTGTGGAATGGCACCTTTGACTACTCCAATTGTGACATAAATCCTCTAGACCCAGGAGAATGCAATCCCCTCATACCCAGGTATTGTAACTTAAATTTATTCTCATTGCAGATACCTAGTTTTCATGTCCTTTTTTCACAGCGTTTAATTTGATTCTATTTCTTTTGTTCCCTTGTACAGAAAGGGACAAGGACGCCCAGACTGGGCTGTGTTTGGCAGACTCACAGAACATAACGAGACGATACTGTTCAAAGAAAAATTTCTTGACTGGACAGAACTGAAGAAACTCAATGAGAAGAATTCTAGTGAATCCCTTCACCAGAAGGTGCATATAATAAGCATGCTAGGTATTTCAAACTAGGTGACTTAGCTGGGATAGAAGCCAGTGAAGCTTGTTCTCAGGGAATCCAGAGCATGTTTATTATCTTGTGGGCTTTGACCTAGGGCTCAGAACATCCCCTCCTACAGCGAACTCCCAGAGCTGTGTTATATTATTATTATTCCTATATTAATTTATATATTTATATAAATATATAAAATTAATTCCATATGAGCCAGGCAGCTCAGTGAATGCTGCCAAGGTGACTTTGACAAGGCATCAAAAGATGGCAAGATACTAAAGTACTGAGATATGCAGCAGTCAAACTGTTTGACTGGTACTGTGGGGTAAGAAGAAAAAAAGCTATGCTCAAAGAAATCTCTTCTCTGTGTTTTTTGGCAGGAAGAATCCAGATCTGACTCTAAACCATATGATGTCATGCTAATGGTAGCTGTGCCTCAAACAACTGTAGGCACTGTCTTGGATGGAATGAATATTGGCCGGGGCTACGGACTTGTAGAAGGAGAAGATGGGAGGCAGTTTGAAATCATCACTGCGTCTGTGGATGTCTGGCATATCCTGGAATTCGACTATAGTAGACTGCCTAAGCAAAGCATAGGGCAATTCCATGAGGGAGACACATATGTGGTGAAGTGGAAGTACATGGTGAGCACAACAGGTTAGTGACCAATTCCATTTCATCCTGCTGAAACATGGAGAAGTGCAACTAAAACTACTGCTCTTAGTGGTGAGATCCAGACCTAGACTTCCTTGGATAAGAGACTGTTTTAAAGGTTGGGTTTGCTAATTTAGCCTTCCTAGGCCATTAAGAAGTAGAGCCTCTTATTTTGTTTTGTTTAAAAGAAAGCAATAGAAAAAAATGTAGTTATTTTTCATACAACAAATGTAATGCTGTCCATCTCTGCTTTTGCCCAGCACTGGTGGTGTACACAGGACAGCTCATTAAGCCAGAATTGTGTCCACAGCTTAACACCAAAATAACAAGGCAGCTGGACTAATGACAGTGATCTGAATGTCTTGCAAGAGAGGTAGTCTGAGCAACAAGGAAAGCCTTTGCTGGGTGATTGAGATCACTAACAATGACAGGAAAAGCCCTTGCCAACCCATTGCCCTTGCTGTCCCTTTTGCTGTTGCTGGAAACCTTTTGCTGTGGGTCTCAGGCCAGCAGTGTTGTGACAAAGAGCTTGAGTGCAGCAGGTAAAGGTTAAGAATCAGTCAGCTCAGGAAGCCCTTTGGAACTCGCCCTTCTGGCACTAAACTAAGAATAGGTGGCTTTTGTGGTAAATTAAATTGAAATAGTCTAAAAATGATTGTTCGAAATAGAAGTATATTAAAATCAGTTGAAAGCAGTGTAACAGTTATACAGCTTCAGGCTTTTAGCCAAAAAACGTAGGTAGGTCTTAGTCAAGATCGTTGAGTTCAGATACTGGCAAATCCAAGAAAAACATGAAAGCTTGTAAGTCTTGGGAGAAGTTCACTAATACTGAACTGTAAACAGACTTCTAATCCAAATGGATGAAAACATATTCCATCACTCCAAAACAGAATAAATTTTTATGTAGGAGGCAGTACTTTTATGGACTGAATGTACAGATACGAGTGAAAACCATAAATTTTAGAAGTGAGTAGTGGTTTGAATATTCTCAACTTGAAAAAAACAGGATGCTTTCTCCTAAGTGTTTCAGTTGGATGCTGCTCAGCACTGCTGGAATCGAGGCAGAAGTTTTAATATTTTTTTAAGAATCTGTTTTAAAACTTGGGTTTTCTTAAATCTTTGATTTAGTTATATCGGTTTATTCCCTATTTGCTGAAAAGAGTGAACTATTCCATAATTGGTTGTATTGTTGAACTTCATTTGCTGTAAACATTATTTGCTTATCATAATAACTAAATAGCAATCCTTAAAAGAAAAAAAAAAAGTTGCTGTTTCCCTGCTGCCAAGGAACAGTGTGTAATGTGGAAAATGAGCCATAATGCACTCTTCTGCTGAAATAACTGGACATAACCATTTCACATGCAAATTGGCTCAAGTGCTGTCAGTTATTTTTCTCCAGATAGTACCAGTTCTTTCTACATCTCTTTCTCCCGCCAACACAGGCGTCTCTGCCTGTGGGGATCACATCCACCTGAGGAGACAATGCCAGCTTTGCATGGGGACACTCTGGCTTGGAGGCTTAATGTTCCTCCAACTGGATATTTTATCTTTCCTGTTCTGGATGGGATACTGCTGAGCTGGCAGATGAGATTAAACCATGTGGTGTTTAAACCTATAGCCAGAGTACTTTCTTCAGCATGTGCTTTCTGTTTCACAGTTGGAAGCAGACAAAAAGGAGAGCAACAAGTAAGGGCTGTTGGAAAAGAGAAATGTGTATATTTCTTTTGGCAAGGAAGGCACTCCACAGTGAGTGAGAAAGGAACATCAGCACTGATGACAGTGGAACTCGATGAAGAGAGAGGAGCACAGGTGAGCTTCCTAGGTGGCAGACCTGGTAAGATTTGCCTTCCCAGTATTAGCCACTCATGGTAAGTGGGAATTATCTTTTTTGGCCTCCTCCAAAGGTGTTCTTGCCTCCAAAGAACTCCAAAGTTGTTCTTGCCATTACAAATAGTCAGACCTCGGAATTACTTTTGGCGTTACTCCAACTGCCAGAGACATGTAATCTCCTTTATGGATTGCTACTCCCAAATCTCACTTCTAAAGATTATACTTGTGAGAAAGGCTGAAGGAGAAGGTCTTCTCTCCCTTTAGGAATACGTGAAGCACATATTCATGCCTTCAATTCAAGTACATGTTCAGATAACAGAATTGTCTTCCTAACACTGAGGAGAAGCACTTTCTGCAGGCCAAGGCAAAAAATACATTTGAAACTTTTAGTTTGTTTACTCTGTAATTAGACATAAATTACCTTGTTTTTCATAGATTCTAACAAATGCAGATGCAGCTAGTTCGAAGCTGAGAAGACAGGCTGGCTTTCTTTGTCTTTAGGCAGACTTGAGCTTTGCTGTGGCTTCACTGTTACCAGCATACGAGGTGGGAGGTATAAAGGTAGTTCCTGTACCTTGATTGTGCTGTAATTATTTTTTTAAACAGCAGCGACATGACCAGCAAGACAGGAGTTCATAGAAGAGAAATGTAAATGCCCTTGTTCAAGAGTGTGGGAGTCTCTGCCACATAGCTGATTGCTCAATTTGTCATGTCAGTTTCATACTCAAAATACAATGCTTAGTGAGCAGATAACATGCACGTTGTCACAGAAACCGTTTTAAACGAAATTTTGAGCCCACTTCAGTTACTAAGTTATCTCCATAACAGTTTCAAAGAGCATTGGTCAAGGTGGACCAGTTCTGTAAAGTGTTCAAATAATGGCTGGGGTTTAAACCACTAAATTAAAGTTTATTTGGTATTCCTTATCCTCTGAAACTCTTGATTGTTGGATTCCAGCTAGAGGTTTCTTTTAATATGCGGGTCACACATGAAACCCATTGCATGCTGATATATGGTAATTTAAACAATAGTCAGCAGTTTTAAAGCAGAAGGAAAACCATCTTCATGGGTGGCCATAACTGTATAATTTTTAATAATCCATGGAGACTAGTTTTCCTGACTCTGTATACTTGCTTCATTTTTTAATAAAGAGTGGTGCTTTCAATTTGCAGGTACAAGTGCTTCAAGGGAAAGAACCTCCATGCTTCCTGCAGTGCTTCCAAGGAGGGATGATCGTGCATGCTGGAAGAAGGGAAGAGGAAGAAGAAAATGCACAAAGTAAATTATTGTTAGTTAAGAACTTCTGCCCCAAAATCCTTTTTTAGGTATTGTGGAGGGCTTTGAATTCAGTCTCAACTACAGTACTCTGTAGAAAGAGGAAATGAATGCCATGAAACTCTTAAAACAGCTTTGCAATTCTTTGTTTCAAGGTATTCTGTTTCTTCTTTGAACATAGAAAGGATTTTTTCACTGTAGACCATACTGGCTTGATTGTATTGACGCACATACAAATTGTTCTAGTTGGTTTCTAATTAAGCTAAGTACTTGTTTGCTTTAAAACAGATTCTTTTTTACATAGTCTGGGAGGGAAAAAAAAAGATATTTTTATGACCAGTTCTTCTACTCCAAGGAAAGCTCTAAGCTTTTGTTACCCAATCACTACATTTTGTAACATATTCCTTGAATGATATAGTTGAGGTAGGAGAATTTCAATGTAAGTGTAGCTTAGAGATGTTCCAGTTTGCACCTGAATGTGACCTTCTGTGCCCAAGGTGCAGAGGGGAAGAGGAGCTGACAGGAATACTGTATTTGTCTTCCTTTTTCCTCCATATGAAACAGCAGAACTTGACTCTAGTGCTCTGTTAAGCTCTTCAGTGTTAGCCAAACCTGGTGCTCAGCTAGTTTGTTCTGTGACCATATAGGTAATGCAATAGGTGAAATTCATCTAGTGTGAGAATAGCTGTTCCAGAGGAGAGGTTTTGAATTTTCAATGCCATGTGACTGTGTAATACTGCTGCACTGTTCCTGTCTGCTCCAGGTGACTGGAGGCTATATTGCGTGCGAGGAGAAGTTCCCAATGAAGGAAACTTACTTGAAGTAGCATGTCACTGCAGCAGCCTGCGCTCCCGGACATCCATGATTGTCCTCAATATAAATAAAGCTCTTATCTACCTGTGGCATGGCTGCAAAGCTCAATCTCACACCAAGGATGTAGGAAGAACAGCAGCCAATAAAATAAAAGAACAGTGAGTGTCTGACCTATATTTTGGAGATGGTTATATAGGCTATCAATTTACTTAAAATAGTCTGATTCAAAGAAAATTTGAAATAAATAAATCTGTCTTCTGAGTACAAATGCAACATGCGCATGCTTGGTGAGGAGGACAAGTGATGGGTTTGGTGGAGGGGAGAAAATGCATGTTCTATAATCACATTCCCTGAAGGTTGAATGCTTTTATTTATAGACTCATAGAATGGTTTGAATTGGAAGGGACCTTAAAGATCACCTAGTTCCAACCCCCTTGCCAGGAGACACACCTTCCATTAGACCAGGTTGCTCAAAGCACCTTGAACACTTTCAGGAATGGGGCATCCACATTCTTCCTACTGTACTAGTTACAGTTGCAAAAAAAACCCAGACACTTTTTATTTGGAGGGCTCAATATCTGAATACCAAATTAAATTACAGTTGATCGGAGGATTAGAATCCAGTCTTGTGAATAAGGATGAGGAAATTGTTTTGGGAAAACATGCAAGGAGGACATCAGCAGTTACAAAAGCAGGCAGTGAAAATCCCTACTTGAGAGCTCATGTGAGCACCTCCTCCACTCTGGGAATGGAATCAGAAATGGTATGAGAATGGTTGTTGAAATTCCCTATCTTTTTTTTTTTGATAATTTTTTGAACTGCTTGTGTTGACACAAAGTGTACAACAAGCCTAGAGGGTACTTTTGGGTTCTAATAATGCTAGTGGACTAGTAGGTTTGTGTTAGCTGTGTTTGGGGCAGGAACACTGGGTTCACTCTCTCTCTTTCTGTTTTGTAGATGCCCACTGGAAGCAGGGCTGCACAGCAGCAGCAAGGTGACAATTCATGAATGTGATGAAGGATCAGAGCCTTTGGGATTTTGGGATGCGTTAGGAAGGAGAGATCGAAAGGCCTATGATTGCATGTTGCAAGGTAGACCTGCCTTCCTGGATTTGGCACTCATATTTTACTTTACTGGTCTATGGTATTGTAAGATTTAATGTAAAGTTTTTGAAGAACTTCTTGATAGTTGAGATGATCCCTGCAGAGAGATGCTTCCAAAAAATCTACTGAGTTAAGTAATACTTTTCCAGAATGAAAGTGCTGGAAAGCAAAGTGTTTCATTTTGTTCTCCCCCTCTTCTGCTGCCCATCTGTATTCAGGCAGCACAGAGCAAGAGTTAACACCGTTACCAATACGTTTTGCTTCTCTTCTGAAGGGGTTTAGGAGGCACTTCTGCACACATTCTCATCCAGCCTTTGCTTTGAAACTGCCAACAAAGGTAGCAGGGGAATTGATTTACCAAGTAGGAAATTTGTCAGCTAACTCTGAGATGGGCTTGCTTCATTTAAGCTGCAAAACAGCCAGTTATGAAATGGCTGATAGTAACTAGCCAGGATCAAATTCAAATTCAAACTGATGGCAGCCAGCCGTTTAGCTCAACTTCTTCACAGCTGTTGCTAGTCCCCCAAGACATCTGGTTGTCTTTCCTGATTTTTCAAAAACCAGAGAATTTACAGTTACTTTAAAAGTGACTGTAAATTACTTTTTTTTATTTTTTACAATCATCTCTGACATTTGCTGTTGCAAATCTTCTTAAATTTTGTTCTTTAAAGATCCTGGAAAGTTTAATTTCACTCCCCGACTGTTCAGCCTCAGTAGTTCATCAGGAGAATTCTCAGCCACTGAGTATGTTTACCCTTCAAGAGACCCTGCTGTCATCAATTCCATGCCATTCTTGCAAGAGGATCTTTACACTGCCCCACAACCAGGTATATGCTTTAAAACACTTAAGTAACAAGAAAACAAATAACTATATCCTGCAGCAGACAGTGTTTCAGTAACTGTAAGCACTTTTAGCTTGATTTATTGCAGGAAAATGTGTGCATGTGATGCTTATACAGCATTAAGAAATAACTAATTTTTCTATTACAAAGATGCTGAGAACTAATCAAATTTATATGTATCATAAAAGATTGCTATAGAAATACATTGTTTATGTCAGAGAATCAGAGTCCAGCTGAGGCTGAGCTGGATGACTAACAACAGGGACTGGTAAGCTGTGAAATGATCCTGTTGTGATGCTGTCAAGCATGTGAGACTGGGGTTGTATAGGGCATTATAAGAACTAATAAGTGGCTGATGATGGGTTTGTTATTTTCTGACTGCGTAGCATTGTTCCTTGTTGACAATCACCATGAAGTGTACCTGTGGCAAGGCTGGTGGCCTGTGGAAAACAAAATCACTGGATCAGCACGAATCAGGTGGGCTACAGACAGGAAATGCGCCATGGAGACGGTGCTCCAGTACTGCAAAGGTAACAAACTGCTGTGCCTGATTGCTTTGAGAGTGTCATACCTTTCCATGCCTTGCTGTCTTGAGCTGAAAGGTGCTCCCCCAATTTTATCAATAAACATCAGTTTATTTGAAGATACATTCTCCACTCTTTCTTAGCAAACAATTTGTCTAGTAGTGGCATTGTTCCCAAATTGCCAAGATACATTGCTAACTCAATTCTCAGAGGAAAGGCTTTATTTCTTTTCTGTGCCCCCGTGTAGGAGAACAGCTCAGGTATCAGATCTCCGAAAGTGAATACTGAGAACACAGCTTCATAAACCTGAATGCTTTCTGTATAGTTCCTCTTAGATTTCATAAGCTTCCGTGTATCAAAAAGACTGAATGAAGATACTGTTGGCTGATTTAACTGGGTGTTGATTCAGTGGAGGAGGTGGAAAGACTTTGAAAATCAAGAACAAGCCTCACATGGAAACTGGTGGCTATTGGAAATTCTGGAGGACAGAGCCTCAGCTCTGTGCTCATTTTGACAAGATAATTGTTGCCACTCAGTGTGCAGTGATTCAAGCTGCAGTTGATGATCATGTAAGAGTATAGTGACCAGAGATTATTTTCTGCACTAGGAGAGGTTCTTTGAGAACACCATAATGCTGCCTTCTCACTTCATCTACCATTGTGTGAGGCTGGGAACAGGCCTTGCATCATCTGACAGAGGATGAATAAGGAAAGGTGTGAGGTTACCGTGCAGGAGAGAGGGCATAAATAACAGCCATGTTCTATTAATTCAGAGCACTTTCCCACTGTGAACAAGTCATTGAGGCTTAACTGGTGCAAACTGTGTCCTCTTGCAAGAAAATCTTGATTTCTTATAGACCTTGAGACCTCATGATGCCACTGATTTCTTCTGTAGCAAATAAACTTCACAGCTTGTGACATGGTGAACGGTAACCCATTGCCTCGCATGGACATTTGTATATTTGAAGAGGGAAAGTGATATCCTTGTTGGATTCCACCCTTATGCTGATAAGCCAGGCTTTGCTTTGCAATGTTTAGGTCCAACAGGAGTAAGACCAAATGTTGTGTTTCAGTTGTCTTGTGTCACTGAGTGGAGTTGGTAACACCTGGCAGGAGACAGCTGAAAACCAGTATTGCAGACACTGAAATGTGACCTTTACTGGACTGCATTATGGCTCAGTGTGGTTCAGGTGTCTCTGGCACTGCCCTGCCAAACAGCAGCATTTGTTTAGGAATGGGGGCTAAAGACAGGGCAGTTATTGGAAGAGTCTTTGGCTTTGACTGCAGAATTCCTAAAGAAGAGGCCAGTTACTTGTTTACCACCACCCCCAGCTTTTGCAAGTCAGAATGAGTGCTAAGATGCATTTCTTTGAAGCCATGTCATACAGTGGGAAGCACGCATACAGTGTGCTTCACAGCAGCAATGAAGGTCAGCACAGAGGAACAGAGGCCCATGCAATGAACTGCCCAGAGCTGCTCAGCAGGCTAGGGAGAGGTGGAGGTAAGATCCCAGTCTCAGTGTTCCTGATGCAGTGCTATAATGTTCTGGTAATGAAAGTCATGTTTTCTGGTCCCAGCCAGAGATTGAATCAGATGCACATGCTGAGGTTTGGATAGTTTTCCAGATTTCTTGAACTTTGAGTTTGATGATGGGAAAAGGGATTAATGCCTTTTGCACTAGATTGAATTTGCTGCATTCGAGTTTTATGCACAGTGGGAAGTTCTTCAGTGATTCCTCAGAGATCTGAAATTTAACTCGAGTATCATAGGACAAGTTATTTTGCTGGGTTATTTGCTCACTTTGCAGCAGTTGTGGTTTTTAGCTTCTTTGCCATGGGTATTTCTCAAGAGTTTCAGGCTGTGTGGTTAGATAGATACAGCACAAGTTTGTTACTGTTAAAAGACCAACTCTACTTGTACTATTTCTGTGCTAAAGATGATGCACACTTCTGTAGCAGTTTTATTCCATTCAAAGTATGCTGTTCTGGTGGTCTGTTGCTTTCATGATCTGTAATTTTGTCAACCATTTCAAAACTTCATTGCATCAAGCTGTCAGGGCTGTATAGCTCTTATGTGGTCTTACTTATCAAGATGTAGAAATTTAATTTCAGGAGTTGTTAATGCTGCTGTAATTATTTTGACTACCAGAATATAGTTGAGTGATCAGAAGCATTAAAATGCTTTTTTCTTATTTTTTTCTCTCCATTTCTTTCCTCATCTATGTCCCCCTTTTCCCATCCCTCCCCTTTTTCTTTTCCTGGCTTGCAGTGTTTGACTACATGATGGCTTAAAAGAGATTGATTAGCAGCTCTGGATATTCCTTGAATATATGTAGCAGTTTCCCTTGTGCATAAATCTCCTTTAACTTGTCAAAATATCTTAAAAGTTTTTCTGTGGTTTTATTTGCTAAATCAGCAGTCTGGAGAGTCAAGCTGCAGACTGCCAGGAGAGAGAAGAATCTGGTTTGCCCTTCAGTGATTCTTACTGAGATGATCAGCTTGTGCTGAGGACAGAATTCATAGAATGAAAATATTTCTCCACTTACATACAAATTCATCTTACCTATACTGGAACATTGCAAACACCACTCTCTTTTTATTCTTGGCTGAATTACTGAGAGTGGAGCAGCACAACTAGAACAGATTCACGTTTTTTAAATGCACAGATTTTAAAGTATTTTTTTAATAGTTCATGGTAGAATGAACAAATAAACCACAAAGAAAATATGTGAAAGAGAAGTCCTCTTTCCAAATTCTAATTCACATTCTAATACATTTGTTAGACTGCTCCACAGAGCTTATACCTCTAATATCCAGTTTCTTACGAACATATTCTCTCTAATCAGTTTACTCTCAACATCAAGTAAGGCCAAACTTGTAGCAATCAGATTTTTCAAACCTAATGGAACTCCCACATCCAGCCAGACGCTCTGTTTGCATTCAGCACAGGTGTTGCATGAGTTCCCTGGGGTGCTCCTTAGCAATGGGGAGGGGCTGTGTTCTTTTAGACCCTCCTGCCCAACAGCCCACAGGCATCAAATGCAGGTAGGGACTACAGTAAAAACCAGGGCCTTCTGCAGTGGAGGAAGTCTTAGGGCATTGAAGATTCTCTCAGACTGAATGTAGGGAATAACAGAATTTTTTAATAAGCAGTTCTTACAGAAGCTACAGCTCTCGGAAGCGAGGTCATGTCCTGTTGCTCTGTTACTTTCACCTGATTGCAAGCTTTGCACCATCTTCAGCTTTTCCATTGCCCATCTGGGAAAAAGATTTGTTTAGACTGAGTTGTTTGAATCTGAGTAAGATGAAGGTACAATATATTTTTTGAATTATAGTTTCTCTCAGTGCCTGGCTGCCTGTCTACCTCTTTTCAATAATATTTGGAGTTTATCAGTGCTTTTAAATCCCTGGGGAATGAAATCATTCCCTTTGTTCCCTAGGACATGGCATAATGACTTTAACCACTTAATCAGATACATCACTCCTGGGCAGGGTTATGTCCATGTCCTATACTGTGTGCACACATACATTTTTTAAAGAAGCAGGACTGTCTTGGAAAATCATTAGTAAATACTATCCAGCTATTTTAACGCCTCTGTTAACTTTCAGATCCCATTCCTTTGAATTCATAATAACAAAATGATTGTGTTACACTTCAGGATCCCAAGAGCAGTTTAAACATTCTCACTTAAGCCTCCAAGCTTAAGCTTTGCCGGCTGCTGGCAGGACACTTCTGCTGAGCATGCCAGAAGGTTTCATTTACCTGAATTTGGCTAATTTCAGACCATTACACTCTGTTTACTCTATTCAAACTCTGGTTTTGTAAGACAAGGAAGGCACTGGGTTAGGGGTAGCTTTTGGAGATCTTCAGCATACATGTTTTGATATTTGGTCAGATACAGTAAAATGCAGGTCTAAGAGTACTGAAGAACATGTTAGAAGGTTCCATGCTAATTTTCAAGAAAAAAAAATCCAGTTGAAATTTATTCTTACTGCCTTAAATTACTTCAGCTTTTGGGGAAAGAATTAAACATTTTAAGGAAGTAGCTTTGGACAGTGGGTTGCCTTGCAAAATATGGTACCATTTGTAATTTCTCATCTCTCTTTCTTTTTTCTCTTTTTTTTTGATTTTGACTGTTTTTAGGAAAAAATGTAAAGAAGCCCCCTAAATCCTATCTAATTCATGCTGGCCTAGAGCCTCTGACGTTCACTAATATGTTCCCAAGTTGGGAACACAGGGAAGATATCGCAGAGATCACAGAAATGGTAAATCTTTTCATTGTACTGGCTGTTTTCTATTGCTAGTAACTGTGTTTTGTGTTGTCAGTACCATTTTGTTTGTGCTGTTTGTGACAGCTTGTTTGTGCTGTCAAGCTCCAAGATCCAGAGAATGAACTTAGCACAGTTCAGGAGTCTGCACAGGAAGAAAACCAACAACATAGCCAAAGTCTGACTGGGAGTGTGAATATCAGAGGCATTCCTCATTGCTTTTTCATGTAACTTCTCATACTCTCTTCTTGTTAAAAACAGGAAGAAAGTGTTACCTGAATCATCTCTTAGAAAAAGATGTGCTAGAGTTTAGCAGAACAGCTGTTTCAATCATGCAGCAACATGCAGTTCTGGTCTGTCCACCAGATTTGAAGTGCAGAGGAGCAAAACACCCTGCAAAGGATCAGCTGGCTCCAAGGGCTCCAGTTCTGACTTCCTCACCTGGGATGTAGAGTCACAGCCAAATTACATGTGGCTGCTTTAAAAGCTTCTAATCAAGGGGCATCTCATGGCAAAAAACACTTTCTGTTTCATAAGTCTTCTGCAGCCATCATTAGTGCAAAACACTGGCTTCATGACTAAACGCAGATTTCAGCCTCAAACTGAGTACAGGACGTCCTTCTGCTAAGTGCAGACATGGTTTTAGCTGTGACATTGTGTAGGGCAGGGCTGTTGGCCTCTGTGCACAGCTGGATGTACAGCTCTGTGCTCCATGGCCCAGGCAGAGCAGGTTATCCCATGCTATCCACAGACTGCCATGAGAGCGGTTGGTGGTTTCAGCATTGTGATCCTGTTCTCCATTTTCCTTTTCTCTTCCAGGATGCTGATGTTTCTAATCAGATAATACTTGTAGAGGATGTGCTGGCCAAGCTGTGTAAAACCGTGTATCCATTAGCAGATCTCTTAGCTAGGCCTCTGCCTGAGGGAGTTGATCCACTGAAGCTTGAAATTTATCTTTCAGATGCGGACTTTGAGGTAAGCAGAGAATAGGTGCATTGTTACTCTGTGCATCTGTGCAGTAAAGTCATTTACCAGTTATGCTACTTAGAAATGCTTTTGCTAATGGCATATCCTCGTGTTTTAAATACAGGTTGCATTGGAGATGACAAGAGAGGAGTACAATGCACTGCCATCTTGGAAGCAGGTTAACCTGAAGAAGGCAAAAGGACTTTTCTAAGCTGTGTTTATGGGAGTGAGCACTAAAGGATGTCCGTTCTCACTTTCTATGTCCTTTAGAAGAATTGTACCCTATATTTACAGAACAAATAGAAATAATCTGAAGTTATTAGTGACTACCTATCTGGAGGTGTGTAATATTATAAAAGGCCAAGAGAACTCTTTGAAAATGGAATTCAATTTTGACTCTTAAAGGCAACGTGTTTAAGCTCCGCTCTCCTATGCACTTAAACAGTAGTTTCTTGAGCTACTGCTGCAGGTGTCCTTTGGCTATATACAATACTTGCCATTTTTGTTTTTAAAGAAGTTCTCTTTGTAAAGTGTTATTTTGTTAGTTTGTGGATTACAAAGAATTTATATTTATATAAACACATAGAACAAGTATGTATTTAACAATGCAATATATATTCACTTTCAAGACTTTCATGTCAAAACTACAGAAAAGTAGCTGGATGGCAGTTGCTTGTACTGAATTAGCTATACCACCAATATGTATCTCCTACGCATTCTTAAAAGTTTCTCTTTGCAATAGTTTAAGAATTGTTCTCAATGCTGCTTCAGGTGCTAAACCGAACAAAGCATTTGTATTTATAGCATGGATTTCTTGAGAAACTATGCGAATCAACCTTTATACTTTATTATCCAAAAATGTATAGTGCCTTGGTTTTTTGTGTACAGTTTATATACAAAAAAAAAAAAAAGATTGGTCTGCATTTTGAAGATGGCTTAGAACAGTCTCCTATGTTACTTTTATAATAGTAGAAATAAAAACATCTCAGTTTCTAATACTTGTTGTAAACATTAAACATGTCTTTTGTGATATAAGAACCGAAAGTAAAAGCTTCTGAATAAACTCTTAGCAATGCTCTGACTTGTCATTATCTTGTACTGTTATCTGTGCTAAGTCATTGGAACCTTCCATAACATGATATTTTCTCAAAATACTTTAACTTTAGATGTCTACAGGTATTGTACAGAGTTATAATTTGAAAAACAGATAATGTAGAAAATAATCAATGTATGAGATAAAATTAGGTTGGGCAACACTTTAATGCTAAATGTTGGAACAGTCACACAACTCCTGTATCATTTGGGTTTCCCTGTTTTATATATGAAACCAAAATTATTATGCTGTTTTTCAAACTTTGAAAAAATCTTTTCAACCTTTGTGCAATTGGGAGTAAAACTTGAGCTGAAAATGAGCATTGTGTCCTTTCTTTCAATAAGCACTGAAGTCAAAATCATTTTCATTCAGCTAATTAGGACATTGAATAGAATCATCAAGTAAATATTTGCTATTGTTTGAAATGATTTTAAGGCATTTGAAATTTCTATAAGAAGTTGTGTGGTTCCCTTCTGATAGCTTAGTGGGTTTCACATTTTCATTCTTGCCAGCATAAGTTTCCTTCTACCCCACAGCTGTTCAGAGCTGCTCCTGGCCTGCAGAGCTGCTGTTGCTGCTCTTATCATTCTCCTAGGCCCAGGGAATTGAAATTAGATCTTGGGGAAATCCAGACCTCACACATTCAAAGATCTTAAGTAATTATTGCTCCACAGTTAATCTTGCTTTGACAGATGGGTTAATAAGTTTAAAGCAAGCCTTTTAAGAAAATTAATTAAAAACTTAAAAACACACAAGTACAATTCACCTGACCTGAGATACTACAGGTGAATTTTCAGCTCTGGAGTATTTCCTTTCTTGTACATGGTTTCTGTCAAGAACTGAAATGAAATAACCCAAGAAAATCACAGCAACAGTATTCAGAGCCAGGATACTTCTTACACAGCTTCCAGCAAAAAGTTGTTTAGATGTCAGTTCCTCAGAGGTCCTCATCTGCCTTCTGCATGGGATACACTATTAGTTCAAAAATGCAGGTCTTTATAGTGACAAGTTTATTTTTCAAACTCTGAGGGGTTTCCAAAGTCACTGCTGTATTCATCTAAGTTGTTTGCACCCATTTATTTTCCTCTTTCACCTTCCCTGGTGATAAAATCAAGCAGGAATTAGGTTTTGATTATTCATGTTCAGTCTGTTCCATGGGGGTAGCAGGTTCCTCTGTTTTGATTTTTCTATTCAACAGACAACAGCTGATTTGCATAGTATGATTGACCTTGTTTTTCCCTCTGGCAGGGTAGTATCATTTGCTTTTGTGTTTTGAAAACACCATCAGTCCTTCAAGTGCTGCTGAAGGGCAACATTCACCCACCTTTAAAGCCTTTAGAATCTCAGCTAAAAGGCAAGGTGAGCCAGCGTGGGACCAACAGAAGTGAAACAATTCACTGTTGTCAGTTCCTGTAAATTTTACACAGTTTGGTATCTGATGTCCCAGTTCCAGGAACCAGGACACAGAACCCAACTTTCTACTCAGGGGCTTTGTTCATAACTTTGCCCAGGGAAGCTTCAAGGTTTTGCAGAAAATATTTTATTATCCTTAATATACTTGTTACTTATCAAAGTGCTTTTCTGAAATGTGAAGCTGGCAACAGAAAGCAAGTCAGTATAAGGCCTCAGACAGAGCTGTAGATTATGCTTTAATTTCCTGCTACCTTTGGTAAGTATGACCAATCCCAGAATGAAAGGGATGAAGCAGCAGCTCTTCCTGCCAACAGGCAGGAGGGCAATCCCAAGGACCATGCTGGTCAGCTGCAGCCCTACCTGTGAGAGAATGGGCTGCTCACACACATGGTACCTGTCCACAGGGTGATAACCTCTCCTCTTCAAAAACAGTGTCTCTGTTTAACAAAGGTGCTGGCTGCAAGGCATTCCACTTGCTCTGACTCACAGGTGGTCTTAAACTCTGTTTGGCAGCCCTGAAATCTGGTCTGTATCAAGAATATTTCATGTGGGATTTTCCGGTTTGTGAGACTCAGGGGTAGATGTGGGGAATACACAGCCATACGGGAGCATTTCACCAGCCATGCAGCTGGCAGCCCTCTCTCATGGGGAGGACAGGCCTCTTCCGTGTTTTTCTGTGCTCTGGGGTTACCAAGAATAGTGTGGGCTGGTAGCCAGTCACATGGGAACTATTCCAAGAACTGGAGAGCCACTGAAGAAGCAATCCCAACCAGCCTGTAACACTGCATGCTCTGGAGATGAAGCTAAAGAAGTCATCATCTATAATTTTGCTTCTTCTGAAGTGTAGCATATTTCAGAGGAATGCTGAAAAAGAGGGAGTGCCACATGCTGTGCACACCATCACCTTTCCTGAAGCTGGGCTACTTTGCCTTTGAATGTTCCCTGCCCTTTATTCTTTAGGGAATTGGTGCAATGTGCCCAGGAAGGAGCCAAGGCAGCAGGCACATAAGATCTGCAGCACGGACTGCATCTTCACATTTTCGTGTCAAATCTTTTGCTCTCCACAAGCATGTACAACTCAAGGGGTTCTACAGCCACAGTTATAAAGGCAGCCCTATGACAAGGTCCACATACAGTCCTGATCCACTGACAGTTGTGCTCTTGGCAATAGAGTGCCACTTTTATAAAGCCTTGTAAATCACTCCTGCTCAGTGTAGCCCCTTGGACTGGCATGGAATATATTCTCACAGCAAAACCAGACTCTGGGCAAATTTCTTACATTCTGTTGCTAAAAGATGTATTTATGTAAAAGAAACAGGTTCATTTGCTGTTCTCTCATCGCTGTAAGGAACTGGAGTATGTGAAGAAAGCTTTCCTTTATCTATTCAATATAGAGTCAGTTGTGGAGATTCGTGGTAAAAGCTACTGATGGTGAACATGGGGTCCCTGGCTCTGCTACACCTGTCTGCACACACACCTGTCTGCACACACACTGTCCAGGCCCTGTGCTGGCAAACCCTTGAGTCATGCATTTCTACACATTTGTCTCTACCAATCCAACCAAGCTGGAAGGAGCCTTGAGGGACTGCTAAAAATATTACTTAAACCACCCCAAACTTCTGCTGACTCCTCTGAAGGGACCTGCCCATAGAATTACCAAGTTACTGAACCAGAGGAAAATCCTAGAGCACATACACTGCTGAAAGAGCAAGGGGAGGCAGGACAAAGCAACCTTTAGCGTCACCATTTGCTATTCTACTAGCTGATACCTGTTCAGCTTCAATTTTACACTCCTCTATTCCCCTCTGCATGTTCCAGGCTGTGCTAACCCCTATATTCACTTTTCAGTGGCAGTTGCTGAGCCACTTGTGCTTGGTAACAGAGCACTGACATTTAATTCCTTTAATCCAGAAATGTGCTGTATAAACTGGTAACTGTTTGCATGTGTGGCTTTTAATTGTCTTTATGCAGCCAGTAAACACATCATAGCCTCAATATGATCATTACTCTTGTTCATGGAGACTGGCTGCGAAGAAAGGCACCAGCGTCTTAGTTCCCAAAATTGGATGCTGTATATAATAATGCTGTTGAAGTGGTAACACTTTATTATTAGTGCCTCTGTTAGTTCACTCGATACTTTATAAAGTGCTCATGACTTATAGACAGAAAAGTAATTGATTTGGCTTGGTTTATCTACGGGGGTCTAGGCAATATTTTATCATTTCACTTCTAAAGCTGATTTTGAACTTCAGTCATTTATATAAGTAGTTTCCAAGTAAAATCTCTGCTAGTTCTAATGCTTATTCTTTTTTCCAACTCTGACTGCTACCCTCATTTCACTGAAATCTTACAACTTAAATATATGGGTGTTTTTTTAAACTATTCTAACTTTAGTATTTGAGAAATATTGATGCCTTGCTGCACAGTTGCAGGGGGTATATTCCCTCCCCTGTCCTTACACACCACACTCCCCATCCCCAGTTCTTTCCAAGTGGTTTATTAGTGACCTGGGAAATATGATTTTCTATTTCAAAAGAGATTTTCAGAATTTGGCTGCAAACCAGAAGCAGAACTGTGCTGCACCATACCACACCACACCACACCAGTGGAATAAATACTAAGAAAAGTTAAATATTTCACAAAAGGAAAACTACCAGAAACAAACTGAGGTTTTGACTTTATCCAGAAGCCTCTGGCTTACTTAGTATCCAAATTTCCAGCAAAACAGACTTAATTTTTGCAATGCTTTCTGTTTTAGATAGCCATGCATTCTACCAACACGATTGCTGGATGAGCAGACTTGCAAGACAGACTCTGCAGTAACAGATGCAGCACTGAGGGCTGGAAGTAACATGAAGCATAGAAAGACTGACCAAAATTACACAGAGCACCAACACAAATTAATTTTGAGAGCCCTGCATCTGAGCAACAGATGGACAGGTTTGGAGTCTCTCAGGAATGACCTGTGAAAACAAGATCCTCTGGAATCACCACTGGCCTTGGTATCAGTTTGGATAGACACCACAGTGGATCTACAGTTTGTCCTTAAAATATGTGCAAAGACTCCATAAGGTGAGATTTATGAGGAGCCCATATTAGTAGGACAAATAAGATACCACCTGCTTTAACACGGCTCACTTGTTGATGTTCATACACCATAAAACCAAGTGGTAGAAGAGTATGTGTGTTTGTGAGGATCTTAGCACATCTGCCTCGTTTCTGATGAACCAGAACAGGCAGTGGTCTGTGAGAGCCTCGTAGCCATAGATCTGCTTAGAGGTTCTATCTCTAGAATGAGATGGTCCTTATCAGACACAACCGAATGTGGAAGTGGAGCTTCTGGAAGGACACACGTGTGCAGCCTCCTCGTTCTGTCACCTGAGGGATCCAACCCTAACCCTATACCAAACCCTCACCTTTTTTAGCCAAACTCATCGAGTTAGAAAACCCTTAAAGCAGCATTTTCCAAAGAAGGGGACTTGAGCTGCACATGGGAGGGCAGGCAGAGCCCAGGAAAAGCTGCCTGAGGATGTGTGCTAATGAGAAAACGGTCCTGGATAGATGGGGTGGTGACTGAGCCTT